TCTTGCGCATGCGCAGCGGTCTAGGCAAGTTCTCGTTATGAAGGACGGGTACTGAAACGAGGCACCGTTTCAAATAACGTGAATCGGTGCTCAGTCGGTACTATGGAATTCGGTCGGTATCTTAAAAAGTACCGAATTTGGTACCCATCGCTACTGGCAACAGCCATGAAACTCACGGAACGTCAGTGAGAAAGTGACTGTTTGGAAAAATGGGCTGCAGGTCCAACATTTGATCACAGGATGTCATTTTCACGTCATTCTTACATATTGCGCCTTTAATGGAAGGATGGAAACGTGTTTATTTATAGTTATTTATATTTTTTATTGAGCTCTATTTCAAAAACAAAAAAGTTACTTGTCTTTTACTAACAAGTAATATTTTAGTTTTAGTGAAAGGCAAATAAATGTCAAATTGCCAATTTCGAGGCAACTGGATGAACTCTGATCAGCTCAGATAACTGTCAAGCACTGATGAGATGGACAGATCAGGATGGATAAAGACGAGTCCAGATTGTTAAGCTAATGGACGGAGAGACAAAGACGCATCTGCTGAGATGATGAGATGCTCCTCTGAGCTAAATCCATTGATCTTTCACCACGTGTATTTTACAATAATTTCCTTCAGTTCCTCTTTTGCTTTAACATTAGTAACTTTTTAAATCAGTTTCTTATTTTTTATTACCTGGAGCAAAACAATATAATGTAGAAGATGATGTTTTAGCCTGTGTTTGCAGTTATTGCAAAATACCTGAATTCATTTGAATAAAACTCAGAAAAGCATCAATTTTACATCCAACTGACATTTACAACACATTCTCTTAATTCTAACCATAGGCTGTAAACATAAAATGAATGAACGCTCCATAATGTAAACCATTGGTTGCTGATTCCAGAAAAAACAGGGTCAGATGGTATTTCCTTGTGCAAGAACATACTAGTGCTTGGTCTACTTAATGGTGGATGGTAGAATTGCAGGAAAAAATTCCGGGACGCATCTTCAGTAGTGTTCCTCTGGATCATGGGTGTTTCTGCCTTTAAACACTATATGCCCTTCTCAGAGGCGGCCAGCTGTAGGTTGATCAGACCTTAGCTTGCGTCCCAAGTCCAATTAGCCATTAGTGTGAAACCTGGCACACTACTTGGGGGTCCAAATGGGGTCATTCCTCTTCAGCCAGAGCCACTGGCTGCTTCTTTCTGCTGCCTCTGATGTAGCTTTGATGGCTCTGCGCTGTTTCTGACCCATGATTCCTAGGTCCCTTAATAGTTTTGTGGTAGATGTTCCCACAAACCCTCTGCACCTGACCTCCACTGGGCGGACCTCCGAATTCCAGCCACGATGTTTTGCTTCGGCGACTAGGTCAGCGTACTGCAGATGCTTCCGCTCAAAGGCTTCCTCCATGGAATCCACCCAGGGTACGGTGAGCTCGATTATGTAAGCCTCCTTCATGGAGAAGGACCATAGCACCGGGCCAGGCCTAGCGGTGGTGGTAGCTATCTCTGAGGGAAACACCAGTTGTTTGCCAATGTTTGCCAGCATCTTCCAGTCACATGCTAGGCACAGCTGGCTTCTCTCTGATGATTTAGATCGGCTCTTGGTGGCTGCTGTGCCTTCACGGACAAAGGCAGTTGCCCATGGTGGTGTTGAGATGTTCGTTACTGAAAGGGCGTTGATGCTGGATAGTTTTTTTCCTCCAGTGCAGCAGCAAGTCATTTCAAAACTTGGTTGTGCCATCAAGTGTATCATCCTAGGGTAAGGCTGGTTTTATACCCAGTGATTTATGTGCCGAAGGGAGGCTGGCTTGGAGCACAGGACGCACCTACGATCTTCACCAAACCACTGGTGGGGATTAGTTGTTGTTGGTAGGACATCATATGTGGCTCTGATGGAAAAGCTCAAGTTCCTTGCTTCCATGGCCCATACATCCCTCCAGCACAACCTCCTCCTTTCGACACCCTCCCACTGTGTCCACCGTCCCTGTTTGCCAAGGGCAACTGCCTTGGCCCACCTTGCAGATTCCTCCTGACGTCGCACCTCATCCACCACCATCTTCCTCCGTGCTGGAGCAGCAGCAGTTCTCCAGGTTGGGTGGCTAGTTTTTAGTCCAAGGCTTCCCCTTCTTAGGTTAACGTTCCCCACAATGTCAGCATGTCTAAGAGCTGTCGTTGCCTCCTCTACTGCTCTTGGGCTCCACTTGCGCCTAGTAACCAGGTTTGGTACGTTTTCTCTGATCACCGGATCTGTGGTATCGTTCAAGGTCATCTGCAACCGTGCTTTGGCACACTTGAACTCTTCCATAAGGTTGGTAAGTGGCAGCTTGAGGACACTATCTCCGTAGAGGTTTGTGGTGGTGAGGCAACGTGGAACTCCCAGCCATTTCTTGATGTAGGCTGTGACTCTTCTCTCCAGCTTCTCTACTGTCGTGATGGGCACCTCATAGAGTGCCAAGGGCCACAGCACTCGGGGTAGAAGGGCGAACTGGAAGCACCAGGTCTCAAGTTTCGCAGGTAGTTGGATTTTGTCAATTGCCTGTAGGCCTGCATTGATGTCACTGCACAGTTGCTTCACCTGTTGTTATCTTTCAGGCTTCCATCGTAGAACCTTCCGAGACTTTTGACTGGCTGCTCGGATACAGGCGCAATCGGGTCATCACCGATGAAGAACTGCAAGTCAGCAAGCACCCCCTCCACCACTGAGATGCTGCATAACTTAGACGGTTTAATCTTCATACGGGCCCAGGTGATGTTCTCCTCCAATTTACCGGTAACCTCCTGGTGCATGGAACGGTGGTAGTCAAGGTGGTCATGTCATCCATATAGGCTCTGAGGGGAGGAAGATGCCGGCATGAGTCGATTCTTGTCCACCTTCAACCCACTTTGAGGCTCGGATGGTAATCTCCATTGCCATGGTGAAAGCCAGGGGAGAAACAGTACATCTGGCCATAATTCCTACTTCCAAGCACTGCCAAGAGGTGGTAAAAGGTGTAGAAAAGCAAAATTGCAGGTCCTGAAAGTAGAACTGAACTGAAGCCCAATGGGTGGTTCCTACTGCCATCTTGGCCATGTCACACATCTCATAAATCCTGAAAAATACAAAACGGAGCTGGTTTTTGTGTGACGTTCATCACCCTCTCCTTGTTCTGCTCTCCCTACCTATTCCACCTTCCTCAGGATCTACTGATCCCCCCCCCCCCCTCTTTCCTTACACTTTTTAATCACAATTGTTAATTTTTTGCTCATTTAAAAAATATTTTTAATTATTCTCTAAAATCTTTTTATATTTTTCGTTTTTATTTTTGTGAAGCGCCTCGTGATTTTTATCTTGAGAGGCGCTATAGAAAAGATCTTTTCTTCTTCTTCTTCTGACAGCAGGCCTTTGAAGGTGGGCATAAGGCCATTTAAGCCATAAACAGGGTTTAAGGGAGCCAAAATTAAGACTTTCTAAGACCGTTTTTAAGGCCACTTTGACCAAATTTAAGCAATTTTTAAAAATTTTATTCAAGCTATAATTTCCACCTAATGCCTGGAACCGGCGCTAACCACGTCGTGAATGTGGGATTAGCCATCCAGTTACCATTAAACTTGCACTTACCCATGGCGCAAGCTCCCACTAGCTTAAGCAGCTAATGTGCTCATTTAAAAAAAGCCCCCTTTCACAACCAACTGAATGTGTACGGTTCCGCTTATGCCAATATACACAAAAAATGCTGAACACTAACTAATAATTCACAAAAATGTCATTGAAATAAAAGAATCTTGTTTATTGGGTCTTGTAATTTAAGACCTTTGTGAACTGTATTTAAGGATTATTTGTCATTTTTAAGGCCTTAAATTTGGAAAAGCAATTTTAAGACTTTTTAAGGATACCCTGCATAAACTCATTCTGTTAATATATTCTCCTCACACATTCATACATTCTTCTCATACATACACACATTCATCCATCTCTCTCTCTCACACACACACACGCACGCATGAATCTAGGTGTGACCTTTGACCCAGCTCTCAAGCTGGATTCTCATGTCAGTTCTCTTGTTCGCGCTTCCTTCTTCCATCTCATCATCCATGTTTAATTGTTTTAATTGTGTTTTTGTTCAGCATGGTCGGGTCTCATGCCACGTTTAAATGTGCTTTACAAATAAACTTGGTATGGTATCTCAGGAACGTTGCTAAGCAGAGTTCCATTCTGTCCTGCTCTGAACTTGAGCTCTGGTCTAAAGGGCCTTACATGGACAAGCACCATCTTACATTGGTGATCTTCTTAGTCCCTACACCCCCAGCAGGTCCCTGAGGTCCAGTGACCAAAGCCTACAGGTTGTGCAGCACCAGGCTAAAGACCTAAGGTGACAGATCATTTGCTGCTGTGGCCCCCAGACTCTGGACCTCTCTCCCCTTGAGCCTGAGATCAGTGGACTCAGTGGTCTCCTTTAAAAAGCAGCTGAAGACTCACCTGTTCAAGCTGCTTTTGTGACCTCCAGTTGATTCTTCCTCTCTACCTTCTCTTCATTCGGCTCTTTCTACCAATTCTGCCTTTCCCTTCTACCTTTTCTTAGTCATTTTCTTTTTTTCCTTTTCATTTTTTCATTCAAATGTTTCCACTTTCCCAATTGTTTACAATAATTGTAATAATTATAATCATTCATTTATTTATAAAGAATTTTAAAAAGTTATCTTTTGTTGTGAATCACCTCGTGATTTTTATCTTGAAAATGGTTTCTTCTTCTTCTAGTTCCTAGTGGATGAGGGGGGGATGCAGTTTTGTCACTTCCTCGTTGACCTCCCTTTGGTCAGCTGTAGTTCTCCACCCCCCCCCCCCCCCCCCCCTCGGTTCTAACAGATTTAGCATGATCCTTTGCTAAATTTTCTCTAATTTCCTTTTTCGACTCCCTTTATACTTCTAAACCAGACGCCTTTTGTCCTCCTCTACTCTCACTCCTTTTGCAGAAATAAAAAAAATTGTAGACATTCGACCACCATAATGCAGCAGAAGAAGCAAACATTACCAATATTGACATTTTTATTATTTGTACAATAAAGACTTTAGTACATTATTCAAAACACTTCTTATATACTGAAAAATGGTATGTCCTGAAACCCAAAATGGCTCCAGTATAATTGCTGCACAGCATTTTTTCTATTTTATACATATAATTTATTTTGTAAAAACCGTATCTTAAATCGTATGTACAGATAGTGTCTGCAAAATGCATTCTAAACACATGATATATATTATATATATTTCAGCAATTGCATTTCCCCGCGTCAATACTAAAACTTAAAACTGGAAGGATTTCAACTTGCATGTGCAAAGAAATAAACAAATAAATAGTTCCGCTAGATCAACACTGAAAATTGTCCATCTTTTTAGTCAGACGGCGTCTCTCTCTTCAGAGGTCAAAGTACGTTTGTGTCACACTACAGAAGAAGCAGCATTCAAGTTGGGTACATTAAAGTACTGCAGAAAGCATGAGTACATTCACAATCAATATGAGTAACTTTAAATCGAGTTTCAGTCGCAGCTTATGTACAGTGTCACCGTCCTCATTTGTTCATCTCTCTTGTCATTAAAGCACATATAAAATGGCTGTTTTATGTTCATATACATATATATATATATATATAATATGATTTTTGTATAACACAAATTCACAATTACAGTAGAAATACATTTTTACACAGTTTTGGATAGTACCTGTGCAGGTCTCCGAGTCACACTGTGCGTACATCTTATCCATGTCTTTGATACAAGTGTCTTTACAAAATATCACAATTTCTGAGCAAAGCTAAGGTATATCAATATATTTAGAAAGAATTACCTGAAACATAGAGTAAAAAATATTTATATTATCAAACATTTTACTCTTCACATCATAACTTTTGAAATGTCAAACTCTGAATAGGGTTCGGTTTCAATCACATTATTCAAACTGTGCCATGTTGTGTCTTTTATGCTGAATCAAACAAAAAGCTCCTCGGGAGAAATGACACTGAACAGTCACGGGATGCCGAGTTAAACCAAAGATCGGTGAACGAAATGCGGCGTCTGATGAAAATGCCCTCAAAGTAAGTGTTGCTTTTGCATGTGGACAGAAAATGAACCTCTTTGCTCTTCTTCTGTGGTTACTTCAGCCATTTCAATACAACTCCTAAAACAACCATCAATATTTGGCATGTAGTCTTTCTTTGAAAGTCTCAAAGTTTCACTTTATGCTTCTTTTTTCATCATTTAATGTCTGTGAACTCTTATGTTAAAGAGCAAGTCACCCCCAAATCAACTTTTTTTTCTGATAAACTACATAAATGCGTGTCTAATCGTGCTGCAGACACGTGTAGTCAATAGTTTTGCACTTTAGTGCATTTTAGTTAAAATTTTTAATTTTCTACCTAAAACTGTCAGTGTTGTGCCATTGTCAGGTAAAAACTCTGCACTGCATTTGAATTTGATTCTGCCATCGCTATTGGCTAAGAGGTACCCTAGAACGTTAGCTGGTACCATATGATGTCCCAATGTCGTTGTGAATCTGTATGTGTATTTATTAGCGGCTCCGCCCTCTCGGTCTGCTAGGCAACAGCACTTGTTGCATTTTTCAAACAGGAAGTGGGAGTTGAGTAAGAATCTAGTGGGGGTGACTTGCTCTTTAAAGCTGCAATAGCAAATATACAGAGCAAGCTAGCTTTTGAACCCAAACAGGGTCACAGAACCCTCAACCCTCCCCTTGGGTTTCTTCCCATGGCCGCATTCGCTGGAACCGAAATCCTGCCTTGCCAAAGGACACGAGAGAGCGCTAAACATCAGTCGCCAATTTCTAGGTCCAAACGACGTCTTTGTTGTCCGTGACTAAATACGTGAGTGCGTTATGAGTGGAGGACCCGGGGAGGTGTGGCGGTTCAGCAAGTCTGACAACCAGATGGTCCAATAGGGAGCCTAAAGCTTGGTTTATGCTTGACGCATTCACTTTCCGCGCGGTGATGCGGCTCGCGGATGGAACGCGCTTCACAACTCGCAGCGTTTATGGTTTGTGCGGCTCGTCTCTGCGGTGAGCCAATATTCTCCCAAACTGAACGGGGCAGCATGGAGCTCTACGGCATGCATCCAACACTGCACCATAGTAGAAGTAGAAATTACTGTTTACAACACAGTATTTCAGCATTTTTAACAGCGTTCTCGTCTTTTCCGACAGTGCGAGCTATTTCTCTCCAAGAATTATTAACAACACATTGATCATGGTGACCTTTGAGAGCTGAATCATACAAATGTCTGTATTTACGAACCTCTGCCGTACTAGTTCTTGCCGGTCCGCCATGTTTTTCCGCGTCCGTCCGTCCGCGTGGTTAGAAATTTTCCGAGGTGCACGTTGCGGAAATTCTGGGCCGTGCGGAGGGGCGAGGTTGTTAAAATGACGCAATTTTTCCGCGCGGAGCCGTGCGGACCTCGCGGACGCGTCAAGCATAAACCAACCTTAAGTTTCCTGCCCTTCTGGTCGGCTCACAGGTTCCCGGAACAAACAAAAAATGAACAGGCTTAAGAGCTATTTTCTAATCCGCTTAGCCTTACACCCTGAATCACACGTTTTACTTCAATTTAAATGAAAAGTAACGATGTGTGTTTCAACTATGTCTCACATACTTTGAAATTTATTTGCTTGTAAAAAATTCCTAATTAAAAGACTACAAATCAGACATCCCATATATGATGTCACCACAGAATCTCTTATCCCCCAGCATAGCTGCTACTTACCACATTGCCAGATTTTTAGCGGTTTTCTTCATGTTTAATGCTCCTTCCTTCATCCTGAAAGAAGGAGTTAAAGCTTTCTCACTCACCTTCTCCTCTTCTCCGAGTCTGGTTTGATGACGTCAATTTTGTGAGACGAACATTTGTAGTCCTAAACGTCTTTTCACACAAAACCTAAAATAGCTTTTGCCACCTGTAGAAAATAAGAGCTTTCTTGGCATCGAAATGTGGTTTTTAAATTCACGGACATCATATGTGAAATCCATGGCACTTATCAAAGGGGATCGGAAAATATTTTTTATTCTATCATAGACTCCCATTCATTGGTTTTGGCAGTTGGGGACCCATAGTCTGGAACTAGATGGGAGTGACTTACATAGACATAAATACGTAGATGCCCCGTTATGCGCTGGAGAGTGTTACAGCGCCATGTTGGATGGGTCTCATCACTCTCCAAAGTCAAAGCAGATAGGGAAACTATGCCCGTTTTTGTGCAGCCTACAGTTACAACAATATATGTTTAAATTTATATTTATTTACTTTGTTTTATCTTATTTATATTTTAATTATTCCATTCATTGTGTCTGATTTTGTGAAAAAGCTTGAGGTGCTTTTTACAGTTGGGTGAGCATCTTCTTCAGTAGAAATGAATGCACAGGGGGCGAATGGAGACCCATCTAAAATGGCGGCCAGCCACTACGGCAGCTCCAGTAGGCGGCGCTATTCCATATATGTCTGTGGTGACGTAGACTCCCTATAGTTGCTTTTTAAAAACTCTACAATATGTTTATAGCTTCACTATGTTAGAACATTTAAAAGAGGTATGAAAAAATTGTTTTAAGCTAATTTGTTTCCAAATTTGCCATTGCAGCTTTAATGTTAAAAAATATCTAAATTTTTTCTTTCTGACTGCCGGGTTGCAAAGAAAGTTTATATTTTCTTTAATTAGTGTAGATTTATCTGTCAAAGTGCTAAAACTGAGGCCTTATTCCAAACATTTCAGATTTCTGTGGGGGCACTTTATCATCTTTCTATCCACAGGAAATCCAGACGCTGGGATGTTTTTACAGAAAATGCAGATCTGACCAAAAACCGCCCAGATTTAAGGCGATGGAAGGCTCTGTGTTGCCAAGCCTCAGCAACTCAACAGCTCTTGAAATTAAAGATGGACCCAAAAAGAGGAAAATGCTGGCTGTCAGTCACCAATGTTATGAAAAAAGCCTCAAACATCTGAAAAGATGTTCACGTGGCCGTAAAAACAAGACAACAGATGTAAAAGGTGGCTGCAGTACTATTACTGGTGTTGACTCAGTGTGTGAGGGTCTTAGAATTTGTTATCAGGCTGAAATATAAACTGAGCACCATTATGCAGCAGTGCACAAGGCACATTGTTGCAAATGTGCTGTGTGTGAGCACCACACACAAGTCTTTCTTGTGTGTTTGCCTACTCGTCCATTCGCGTGGTGGCGTGTGTAAATGTTGGCATGACTTGCACGATAGATGGCACTACAGAACAAGGGTGGCTCTGCTAAAAAAATCTCAATGAGCCGAACCTCAGAAGTATTGCTTTTAGCTCTTTTCAACACAGCTGTGCAGGCAACAGTTTTTCAAACAGAAAACCCCGTTAATGATGAAATATGAAAAACGTTTTTTTTTACAGGTAAAATAGTGGTATACCTATAAAAAAACAAAAAAAAATCCATTAGGAGAAATGTTCTCTGTACAATCAACATGAGAGAATTCAGAATGTATCAACAATAATTATATTAATCATAAACTGGTCAGGCCACGCTGCAAGTGCAGCTCTAGAAGCTGAATCTCTATATTTGTACAAAAGGCAGAAAGTCTAAAGTTTTCAGCGTCTGTACACTGGAGGTGAAAAAAATAATAATCCTGCAGAAAAAATGTGAAACAATTAAAAATAGATAAACAAAATAAGAAGAGGGTAGGAAAAAAACAGAATTTAGGAAAAATAGGTGAAAAAAAAAACTAAAAGGTGTGAAAAATAATGTCCACGTGTTCAAATTTCAAATTAGGTAACAAAAACTTACAGAAGAGAAGAAAACAGACACGAAGCAACAACAGTTTTCTAATTTGACTGATTGATGGGATGACTGCCTGATTAAAATAAAAATAAACAAATGTGTGCACACCCACACACACACAATCCAAACTACAGCAGCCTTATTGGGACAAAAAAAAAGTAGTCCCCTCATGATCCACCCAGTCAACGATCAGGTCCCTGATCTCTGGTAGACAGACAATCCGATATTTTATGGTACATTTGGCACTGGTATTCGCCTTTGGTCCAGCAATAGGCAAATAAATGTCAACGTGTTCCTCTAAAAAGGTTTAAAAAAGAAGAGTGGCTTGTGTTTCAGTGTCACAAGCCTCCAGCTGAGCGCAGGTGGGGTGTCATTGGATGGTGACGAGTAGAGAAGAGAAGCGTTGTTCTATTCGTTTAAAAAAACTATTTCTAGCACATACTGGTGTCTCTCAGAACCATCAAGTCCACTGTCCGAGGGAAATTCTTCAGCAGAGAGACGGCTGTGTCGTGCTCCATGTGTAAAAAACTATGTCCATTAGCCTGCAAGGCAAACACGCAGCACAGTCAAGAGCATGTGTGTGTGCGCGCATGTGTGTATAGAGGTAATGTGTGCTGCAGATTTTCCATACACATGTCTATGTGTGAGTGTTTGTGGAAGGATGGAGGGTCACTGCCATCATTATCTCAGTAACACATCACTGTTGGGGAAAAGAGAGAGAAGAGGAGGAGCTACACAGTCATGCTGTAGAAAGAGAAGGGGTAAAGACAAAAAAAGGGTTTTTAGATGACGTCATCCAGCTAAACTGTACATCTTTGGAGTGAAGATGGGGGACACACAATGAAAATGTGACAGACAGGATGGCGGAAGACAAATCTAACACCATGAAGAGTTGACATCTTATTCAGTCCCACATCACAACCCAGTGTTTAAAGACTGGACTCTAAAACTATTTAAACTAAAACAAATTAACACAAACTTGAGACATAACAGAGATGTTTCTGTGTTCTGGTTTGTATCTTTTGGCGCTGACTCACAGGTTAAGCCGTGTTTCCACTATTGGAGTTCCGGGAAATTTCCGGGAGGGGGGAACGTGAAAGAGGAAATTCAACAGCTCGATTTTCTCAGCCGTTGTGCTCCTGTATATAAAATCGACCATTTCAGGGCTTCGCTGTGACGTCAACATATAGCTACAGGCATCGTTTTGGCTGGGGACGCAGGGGACATGTCCCCACCAATTTACATAGCAGTTAGACTTGTCACCAACAATTTATTATAAAGTTTTTTGTTCCAGCTATGTTTAAAAACCGGTATGCTAGCTTACTGTCTACGTGTGCTCTCGTGATTAACACCTAGTGGAAGAACCGGCCGCTATTTAAAGGCCTCCATCAACTGAAAAACTTCTTTAATATTTATTTTCATTCATATTGCTTTAACTGGGAATAAAAGGAAAACCGTATTTATCTGTAGTTAAGCCTGTAGCTAACTTACAGTTAGCTTTAAGTTAATATGGAACATGATAAAACTGGGTCATTTCAGGTTCGTTTTACTTTTAAAGTAACACTAAATAGTTTTGTAAACTTGAAGCTAGAGCTTTAACACTGATCTCAGTGACTGCTGAGTTAGAAACTTGACCAGTTTCACATTAGACATCACTTTGCAGCCCTCTGCTGACCAGAAACAGCACTTTACAGTTTTGTGGAAAGGGCAGGTGTCCAAGGGGATGCTCTTTACTTGGTTAGGGTTAGGGTTAAAAGAGATGGCGGAACACGCGAGGGTGGGTGGGGTTGACAAGTAATTAAAATTGCACCCACATTTTCAAAGTTAGCACACATCTCTTTTAACAATGGTACTTTTTGCATCTGTTCCACTGCTTCAGCCCTTCCCCCTCCCCCTGCGCAGCGGCCGCAAACTCACTGGTGCGCCTGCAGCCTCTCAGAGTTCCTGCTGCTCTAAACATTAAAATAATTATTTCATTTTCTGTTCCTCACTTCTGATTACCTTCAGTGGTGTCTGTTTGTTGCAACCACCAGGTACAAAAACTAACTTGTTTTTATTTGACTATTTTTCTGTCCTGTCTGTCTATTATCTTCCTGCATCTCCTCTCAATCCTAAAGAAACACTGCTACATGTCTTCAAATAGTTTCACCTCATGAGTTACCTTTGAACTGCAGTTCAAAATGATCTACCGACCACAAATATAGCAGAGTGTGCGCCGACCGCATCGGTGAGGTGAACTCACTGGAGGACGAAACAGGTGATGCGCTCCGCATCGGCGAAACGCATTAGACACAAATAAAAGACAGCAAAAAAGAATATGAGCCGACATAAACGATCGCATGTTAACTTTGTTTTTGAGGTGGCGACACTTTGATAATGTTACTGTGGCTGTGCTCAGGATACAGCTGTCTGGATCGCATCAGCGATCAGAGCTCTGCGCCTCTCAACTCTAAATAATCCCCGGAGAGTCGACATAGATAATTTAATATAAGTAGAACCAGGATCTTTTTGGGGGCTCCCCCTGGGTGTGTTGAGGGCTTCCAGGAGCTCCCTTTAGCTCATCTGTAATTCGAATCCTGCGTGGTTGCGTGAGTTGCCGGATCCTAGCAGACAGCTGCCGGAACGGTCCTTTCAAAATAAAATAATTCCCGGATCTTGTTCCGGCAAGATCCGGCTTAAATTAAGCACTGGTATTAGCTATTTTCCATGCTGGTAGCTAATAAAAAGTTAGCAGTTAGCTTTTTTCAGTTTGCTGAGTATCACTAAAAAGCACAAGAAGGCATCATCAAGATGGCATCATGGTAGAGCCTGGACGTAAAAGCCAAAGCCAGAGAGTAATGTCTTTGGAGGTAAACCAAAGAGCTAAAACCAGCATGGCCTACACTCATTTGAGGAAGCTTAAGGAGGCTATGAAATGACAGGTTGATGGTGACCTGGCTTTGTTGTTACTGGACTTGTAAGCAGTGGTGGCTGGTGAATCCTTTCTTTGGTGGGGCACATTTTTGCCATCTGTTTTCTGATGCACTAACCACATATCACCACAAGAGGATGCCCGATTCCCATTCTTATTTGTCACACAACTTGAACCCAATGGAGTAGATCCATGAGTACTTCCAACAACAAAGTTGTTCCTAAAACATGCTTAAAATTCACCAATACATGCAAAATGCACACGTACTTAATGGAAAGAGGCTTGTCTAAATGGTAGAATCCACGTTTTTTACCTCAACACCATGTGGCTGCTAAAAGTAAAGCTAAACAAAACTTACTTCATGAAGTCAAAGTGTAAATTCAGCCTTACCTTTGCTTGCTTATGGTCATAATAATCTGTGTTACAGTAAAAAAAATTCCACTCGGTTCATGTAATTTAATGTCCCAACGTCACACTGATTCTGACAGTCTTTGGATGTATACAGCACAGTTTTCTCTCTACAGTTCTACTACTGACCAAGTCCGACAAACACACCCACATCACCCCGCTTCTCCTCCAGCTTCATTGGCTGCCAGTCAACTTCAGGGTTCATTTCAAGATCCTGGTTCTGGTCTATAAGGCCTTACATGGACAAGCACCATCTTACATTGGTGATGTTCTCAGTCCCTACACCCCCAGCAGGTCCCTGAGGTCCAGTGACCAAAGCCTACTGGTTGTGCAGCACCAGGCTAAAGACCAAAGGTGACAGACCATTTGGTGTTGTGGCCCCCAGACTCTGGAACTCTCTCCCCCTGAGCCTGGGATCAGTGGACTCAGTGGACTCCTTTAAAAAGCAGCTGAAGACTCACTTGTTCAAGCTGGCTTTTGTATGATTTTCTTCACCGCTCTCTCTTTATTCTGCTCTCCCCACCTATTCCACCTTCATCAGGATCCACTGATTTCCCTCTTTCCTACTCACTCTGTCTCTTTCTTAACATTTTTTAATCACAATTGTCTATTTTTTGCTCATTTTAAATATATTTTTAACCATGTTCTAAATTCTTTTTTATATTTTTACATTTTTTGTTTTTGTGAAGCGCCTCGTGATTTTTATCTTGAGAGGCGCCATAGAAATGATATTTTCTTCTTCTTCTGCAAGACCACAATTATTTGTATTTTTATATTAATCTGGCGGATCACCGTTAGCTCGGCCATGGTGAGGGAATATGGACTTAAGTGAAACCTGACACAGGCAAGCTGCGCATTATTTTCTGTGTATGTTTCTGAATACATATAAATATGCTATGGCGATGCGGTGGTTAAGAGCTTGCCTTGTAATTTGTGGCTTGCTAGTTCGATCCCCAGTTTCAACTTTTAGTTACTGAATAAAGCTTACATGTAGAACATGTGTCCTTACAGTACAGTGCATGTTGTATTTAAACTTTAAATAGGCAAATACTTATACATGAATAATTTAATAATTGTCCCAAGCAGCGTTAAAGACAAACTCATGCCCTGAGTGTGACAATTGGCCTGACGCCGCCCCTTTCTGCATGCTGCAGCCAGGCGCACTTGCACGCCCTTGGATATAGCAACCGCTTCAGCAGTGATGTGACGTCACAACCCAGGCCTTTCCGGGAACCTGCCCCCAATGTAGAAACTCGGTCAGTCCTTGAAATGACCCGGAGAGTGTTTTTTTTTCAGGCTGCCATGCCACACGTGTAGCACAAAAATGGGCAAAATTACCCGGAAGCTCCGATATTGGAAACGGGCTAAGGTGTATTAAAACATCATTGGATATTTTTGTTTACATAATGCTGCAACATTTTTAAGAAGTATCAACATTTAGGTTGCATCCAAATTAAAATAACATTTTTCTATTTAGATGTCGTGATCGTCGTCTTCCTCTTCCTCCGCTTATCCGGGTCCGGGTCGCGGGGGCAGCATCCCAACTGGGGAGCTCCAGACCGTCCTCTCCCCGGCCACCTCCACCAGCTCCTCCGGCAGGACCCCAAGGCGTTACCGGACCAGATTGGAGATGTAACCTCTCCAACGTGTCCTGGGTCGATCTGGGGGCCTCCTGCCGGCAGGACATGCCCGAAACGCCTCCTCAGGGAGGCATCCAGGAGGCATCCTGACCAGATGCCCAAACCACCTCACCTGACTCCTTTCGATCCGGCGGAGCAGCAGTTCTACTCAAAGTCCCTCCTGAATGTCCGAGCTCCTCACCCTATCTCTAAGGCTGAGCCCGGCCACCCTACGGAGGAAACTCATTTCGGCCGCTTGTATCCACGATCTCGTTCTTTCGGTCATTACCCGAAGCTCATGACCATAGGTGAGGATTGGGACGTAGATCGACCGGTAAATCGAGAGCCTGGCTTTCTGGGTCAGCTCCCTCTTCACCACGACAGATAGGCTCAGCGTCCGCATCACTGCAGACGCCGAACCAATCCGTTTGTCGATCTCCCGATCCCTCCTACCCTCACTTGTGAAAAAGACCATGAGATACTTAAACTCCACTTGAGGTAGGACCTCTCTCCCGACCCGGAGTTGGCAAGCCACCCTTTTTCGGTCAAGAACCATGGTCTCAGATTTGGAGGTGCTGAACCTCATCCCAGCCGCTTCCCACTCGGCCGCAAACCTACCAAGGTCAGAGCTGGATGAAGCCAGGAGGACCACATCATCCGCAAAAAGCAGAGACTAGATTCTCCTGCCCCCAAACTCGACACACCCCACACCACGGCTGCGCCAAGAAATTCTGTCCATAAAGGTAATGAACAGAACCGTTGACAAAGGGCAGCCCTGGCGGAGTCCAACCCTCACCGGGAACAGGTCCGACTTACTACCGGCTATGCAGACCAAACTCACGCTCCTCTGGTAAAGGGACTGAATGGCCCTTAACAGAAAGCCACCCACCCCATACTCCTGGAGTGTCCCCCACAGGGTGCCCCTGGGGACACAGTCATAAGCCTTCTCCAAATCCACAAAACACATGTGGATTGCTTGGGCAAACTCCCATGCCCCCTCCATCACCCTTGCAAGGGTATAGAGCTGATTCACAGTTCCACGGCCAGGATGAAAACCACGTTGCTCCTCCTCAATCTGAGATTCAACTATCGATCGGACCCTCCTCTCCAGTACCTTGGAGTAGACCTTTCCAGGGATGCTGAGGAGTGTGATCCCCCTATAGTTGAAACACACCCTCAGGTCACCCTTCTTAAAGATGGGGACCACCACCCCGGTCTGCCACTCCACAGGAACTGCCCCCGATGACCACGCAATGTTGCAGAGACGTGTCAACCACGACAGCCCTACAACATCCCTAGCCTTGAGATACCCAGGACAAATCTCATCCGCCCCCGGGGCTCTGCCACTGTGTAGTTGCTTGACTACCTCAGCAACTTCTGCCTCCGAGATTGGACAGTCCATCCCCAGGTCTCTCGCCTCTGGTTCCTCCTCGGAATGCGCGTAGGTGGGATTGAGGAGCTCCTCAAAGTATTCCTTCCACTGTCCGACTATAGCACCAGTTGATGTCAGCAACTCTCCATCCCCACTGTAAACAGTGTAAGCGAGTTGCTGCCTTCCTCTCTTGAGGCGCCTGACAGTTTGCCAGAACCTCTTTGGAGTCGATCGATAGTCTTTCTCCATTGCCTCACCAAACTCCTCACACGCCCGAGATTTTGCCTCGGCAACTGCCACTGCTGCACCCCGCTTGGCTATCCGGTACCTGTCTGCTGCATCCGGAGACCCACAGACCAGCCACGCCCTGTAGCTCTCCTTCCTCAGCCTGACGGCTCCCCAAACCTCTGGTGTCCATCAGCGGGTACGGGGGTAGCAACCACGACTGGCATCGGCCACCTTGCAACCACAGTTAGCCACAGCCGCCACAAACAATCTTAGAGTGGAACAAGGCCCACTCTGCTCTCGGGATGCAGTCAAAGCTCTGCTGGAGGTAGGAGTTGAAGACTGTTTTGACAGGTTCTTCTGCCAGGCGTTCCCAGCAGACCCTCACTATGCGTTTGGGTCTGCCAGGTCTACGCAGTATCTTCCCCTGCCATCTGATCCAACTCACCACCAGGTGGTGATCAGTTGACAGCTCCACTCCTCTCTTCACTCGGGTGTCCAAAACATATGGCCGCAGGTCAGATGATACGACTACAAAGCCTATAATCGACCTGCAACCTAGGTTGCCCTGGTACCAAGTGCACCGATGGGCATCCTTATGTTCGAACATGGTGTTCGTTATGGCCAAACTGCGGCTTGCACAGAAGTCCTATAACGAAACACCACTCGAGTTCAGATCAGGGGCCGTTCCTCCCAATCACACCCCTCCAGGTCAAGCTGTCATTGCCCATGTGAGCACTGAAGTCCTCCAGCAGGACAATGGAGTCCCCTGATGGAGCACTATCTAGCACTCGTCCCAGGGACTCCAAAAAGGTGGGCACTCTGAACTGATATTTGGCCCATAAGCACAAACAACAGTTAGGACCCGTTCCCCGATGTGAAGGCACAGGGAAGCTACCCTCTCGTCCCCCGGGTTGAACCCCAACACACAGGCAGAGAGTCTTGGGGCTAACAAAAAGCCAACCCCAGCCCTCCGCCTCTCACCCGGAGCAACTCCAGCAAAGGAGAGTGTCCACCCCCTCTCAAGGACTTGGATTCCAGAGCCAATGCTATGTGTCGAAGTGAGTTTGACTATATCTAGCCGGTACCGCTCAACCTCTGCCACAAGCTCCTGCTTCTTCCCCGCCAGCGAGGTGACGTTCCATGTCCCAAAAACCAGTTTCCTTGTCCGGGGATCGGACCGCCAAGGCTCCCGCCTCTGTCTGCCACCCCATCCACACTGCACCGGACCCTTCATGTTCCTCCTGCGGGTGGTGTGTCCACAGTTGGATGAGCCCATGTATCCAGCTCGGGCTGGGCTCGGCCGGGCCCCATGGGCGAAAGCCCGGCCACCAGGCGCTCGCTCACGGGCCTCAACCCCAGGCCTGGCTCCAGGGTGGGACCCCGGTAACCCTCCGGGCCGGGTACTCCGACTCTTTGAATTTACCTCCATGAAAGATCCTCTGAACCGTTCTTTGTCTCACCCTTCACCTAAGACCAATTTGTCATGGGAGACCCTACCAGGGGCACAAAGTGCCCCAGACAACATAGCTCCTAGGATCATTAGGGCACTCAAACTCCTCCACCACGATAAGGTGACGGTTCAAGGAGGAGTATTATTTAGATGTGTAAAATCAAAATTCTAATTGAGGTTTTAATAATCATAACATATAAAATAATAATAAACAAATTGTAGCTTCATTATTTATTATTTAATGTTAATATAACAACTACCAAATATTCAGTTTTATTTTATTATGTTCTTTCATAATAAAATAATAGAAACAAAGAAATAAAATGGACCCTTTCTATATGTAGATTCCCCAGCAGAGGGCACTACACTTGTAGAAAGTTGGAATAGGTTTGCAAAAATTAATTTGAGATTTAATAAAATAAAAATATTTATAATACTTAATTAAAAACATTTTTCCTAAATAAATTATTTTATACAATGTTGCCTTGAAGTTATGCCTATCTCTGACAACATTCATGATCTGAAAACAAATCTCCGCTTATTTATCTTAATAAACAAATATTAGATAGCTCATCTAGTTTATTAGGTGTCATTTTGGTGCCTGATTGCTGTCTTGGTAAAATAAGCAACAAGCCTTATTTCTTCATTTTTACATTCACACACATTGATGAAATTGTTTTATGCAACTAAAACTAAAACATCCTCCATCTTAACTATTAGCTTGATAAAAAATAATTAGCGACTAATAAAAGAAGCCTTCACGTACATTCTCAGTTTGATACTACAAGCGGTTTCAAGCTTATAAACCCATCTGGTCTTTTTGCTCAGAGGTGGGTGTCACAAGATCATGATGAAAGAAAGTGTAACAGTTGGAGGAGCGGTGCTGCAGGAAGCTCATGCCTGATTTTGGGATGGTAGGGACAAAGAGGCAGAACATAAAGCAGCAACAAGTGTTTTTACTTCCTCAAAATCAGCTGATTTTCATAAGATGTCAATTCAACTAGCAGGGAAATCGAAATAAAGGAAACAAGATCTTAAAAAGCTATTTTTTTCCTGCTGAATGTCCTGCCTCTATGTTTAAAAAGCTGGTCGGAAGAGGGTAGGATGTAGCGATCTGTTTGGAGACAAGTGGGAGGACGTTACCTGCAGTATCTTGTCTCCAGGCTGCAGGGCGGAGGCGGCGGGCCCGTCATGCTGTACCCTAGTAACAAAGATACCCTATAAGTCAAAATGATACACAGTTAGGACAACACAGGGACAAGATGGTTTAGAATCTTTGCCTTTCTCATGCTCATCTGAATATCCAACCCCACATAAAAAAAGTTTTCTGGCAAAAATAATGAAACTATTTGGCCCTTTATAAAATCGTGGAGGAATGCAAATTATGCCGGAAACAATGTTAGACATTCACAAAAATAGAATATTAGCATGTTCCATTTGAATGCTTCACAAAGCATTTAAGAAAGTTTTGGTTCCTCCCAAAAATAATGTCTCGTCTTTTTATCATTATTATTATTATGTGTGTGTGTATATATGTATATATATATATATATATATATATATATATATATATATATATATATATATATATATATATATATATATATATAATTAATGGATAAGAACCTTGCAGAGGTTAGAGCACGGAAAAAGTCATAGTTAAGTAATCATTTATAGATTATGGGAAGAAAAATAGGTGTGGGATGGGTTCTGACTTTGAGGAGTTAGTAGGTGTAAGAAGAAATTTCAACCCTCTATCCATAACCCAAGGCAGAGATTGTAAAAACACAAACATCGTTTCACCGAAGAGCTGAAAGATGTTGTGGGAACACAGAGTGTCGGACAATGCGGCTACGGGAACTCCACTCGATTCAACAGGCCGGGGACGTGTTGAACGCCGTAGTGAAGTAGACAGATACATGTGCCAAAGAGGAGTGACACAAGATAACTAAAACAAATGTGATGTAGTAGTGCAAGTGCAGCAGCACCCACACACTACAGGAGTGAGTGATTGCAGCAACAAACACAGTCACTGCACGTTAGGAGTGTTAGTTAAGCTGCAATATGTGGGAACACGCACATTCATACAGTGAGCCTCATACGTGTGCGCTGGAATCTAACCAACTGGGGTAATTTAGCTTGCACATTTATGCTTATACAGATTTGTAGCCAGAAACTGAGAAATGATAGTTTATATGAAGCTCACTGCACTTTACAGGTGAGTTTATCGGCTGAAACAGTGTTACATTAGTCACAACAATCAGACAAACACACACGTAGAGCCGCAGCAAACTGCAAAAAAACCTGGAAACATTTGCTCCATTCTGCGGAGGTGCCCCAAGAGGGGGCCATGGGCACCCCTGGAAATTTTTGGCCCCCTCAATGCACCCCTCTCCAGGAAGACCATCCCCCAACCCCCCTCAATAAATCACATTCACGGTCAGACAAACAATCCATTCCTGTTTTTTAATCAAGACTTAAATATTAAAGCCGACAGATATATTTTTTAATAAGTAATTTATTTGATAAATCATAATTTACACTGAACAAAAATATAAACGCAACACTTTTGTTGTTGCTCCCATTTTTCATGAGATGGACTTAAAAATCTAAAATTCATTCCAGATACACAATATCACCATTTCTCTCAAACAATGTTCACAAATCAGTCTAAATGTGTGCTTTGCTGAGATAATCCATCCCACCTCACAGGTGTGCCACATCAAGATGCTGATCTGACATCAAAGTAGTGCACAAGTGTACCTTATACTGCCCACAATAAAAGGCCACCCTGGAATGTGCAGTTTTTTGCTTTATTGGGGGTATGGGGACTCAGAACCGGTCAGTATCTGGTGTGACCACAATTTGCCTCATGCAGTGTAACACATCTTCTTTGCATAGAGTTTATCAGATTGTCAATTGTGGCCTGTGGAATGTTGGTCCACTCCTCTTCAATGGCTGTGCGAAGTTGTTGGATATTAGTGGGAACTGGTACACACTGTCATTTACGCCGGTCAAGCACATCCCAAACATGCTCAACGGGTGACATGTCCGGTGAGTATGCTGGCCATGCAAGAACTGGGACATTTTCAGCTTCCGTGAATTGTGTACAGATCCTTGCAACATGAGGCCGTGCATTATCTTGCTGAAACATGAGGTGATGTTCATGGATGTACGGCACAACAATGGGCCTCAGAATCTCATCACGGTATCTCTGTGCATTCAAAATGCCATCAATAAAATGCACCTGTGTTCTTCATCCATAGCAGATGCCTGCCCATACCATAACCCCACCACCACCATGGGCCACTCGATCCACAACATTGACATCAGCAAAGCGCTCACCCACACGACGCCACACACGCTGTCTGCCATCTGCCCTGAACAATGTAAACCGAGATTCATCCGTGAAGAGAACACCTCTCCAACGTGCCAGAAGCCATCGAATGTGAGCATTTGCCAACTCAAGTCTATTACGGCGACGAGCTGGAGTCAGGTCAAGACCCCGATGAGGACGACGAGCATGCAGTTGAGCTTCCCTGAGACGGTTTCTGACAGTTTATACAGAAATTGTTTGGTTATGTAAACCAATTGTTTCAGCATCTGTCTGAGTGGCTGGTCTCAGATGATCTTGGGAGGTGAACCTGCTGGATGTGGAGGTCCTGGGCTGGTGTGGTTACACGTCGTCTGTGGTTGTGAGGCCGGTTGGATGTACTGCCATATTCTCTGAAACGCCTTTGGAGATGGCTTATGGTGGAAAAATGAACATTCAATACACGAGCAACAGATCTGGTTGACATTCCTGCTGTCAGCATGCCAATTGCACGCTCCTTCAATGCTTGTGGCATCTGTGGCATTTTGCTGTGAGACAAAACTGCACATTCCAGGGTGGCCTTTTATTGTGGGCAGTCTAAGGTATACCTGTCAGATGATGATGATGATGATGATGTCAGATCAGCATCTTGATGTGGCACACCTGTGTGAGGTGGGATGGACTATCTCAGCAAAGCAGAAGTGCTCACTATCACACATTTAGACTGATTTGTGAACAATGTTTGAGGGAAATGGTGATATTGTGTATCTGGAATGAATTTTAGATCTTTAAGTCCATCTCATGAAAAATGGGAGCAAAACAAGTGTTGCATTTATATTTTTGTTCAGTGTACATGTCACTGAGGCACACCATTACAAAATTGTGTAAATACTCGATAGTTTTGGTGGATATTTTTGTTGAAACAACAACAGGAAAATTAAATGTACATTAACTCATTCACTGCCAATGATTTGCATTTTTTTACTGTGTGGGCATCGGAACGAGCGCCCATGCCGAGAGAACAAACATCTCAGCTCTGAAGCCTCGTACGTCACACGTCACGTGATCAGGAAGCAGAAAATCCATGTGTTAGGAGATCATTTTGGGCCGCTGCTGTAAAAAAAGTGAGGCGCGAACCAGAAAAGCTTCTGCCGATCACAATTCAACAACGGATTATGAAAGAACGGATAACGCTTGAAACGGGCAGATTCTTCCCGATGCAAGAGGTGAGTCTCCGCTTTGTTTTGGTTGTTTTGGCGTCGACATCATCCTAGCGCGCAACGTTCTGTGACTCTTAAAAAAACAGTAAAAATGGCGAGAAACAATGTCAGCAAAGGTCTTTAGCGATCGGGAAATGGTTGGCAGCGAATGAGTTAATAACATTTTCTCAAATGTTTAACAAATTTGAGGTGAATGTGTTGGATGCAGAGGCTGATTGTAGCAATGCAGGAACCGATTTAGTGTGGCACCCCAAAATTTTCACTGGCCCCATCTGTCCTGCCCATTGACAGCTTTCTAAGGGTGCCACTGCCATTTCGGCTGAGTTTGAGGTCTAAGGAGCTCAGAAGAACACTGATCTCAAAAGATGACAAACAGCTAACATGTCTGCCATCAGCAGCAGCTTAAAAACTGCACCACATCTGTACGTCCGACAAAAAAGCAGAAGCAGACAGTCACATTTCAGAATGTGCCTGACCTAGATTTAGGAATTAGATTAATAAAATCTATGTCTGATCTTTAAACCCCTCATCGTCTGCTCCTAAACCAAGTCTAAGAAGCTAATACATCAAAGGCTGTGATCTCAATCCAGTCAACGCAGGAATTGGGTCTCTTCTCAGAGTCCTAATTAGCCAGAAGTGAAGCTGACCCAGTGAGCCTCAGGTGGTCTTTCAAGTCAAACTTAGAGGATCATTGTTATTTCTTTTCAGAAACCAGATAATGACTTCCAGAGGGTTTCATTTGTAGAACCTTTTAAGGTGAATCTAAACTTAAAACTTTCAAAGCTGAAAGAAAAACTTTATATTTATTTAATTTGTTCTTTTCTTTTAGTTTTTTTATACTCATAATAATGATGCTGAAGATCCAACTACCTCACAGCAACAACTGTTGATCATCTTTTCTTTTTGTGGAATAGTTAAATATCAACAGACCGCCATGTTTATGCAGGCAAATAAGAAGCTGAACACTAGAGGGAGCTAGTGTGCTGTGGAACAGCTTCTGCTGCTCTATGAGTGGGTTTAGGGATTTGGGGCTCTGGAAAATCAAATTCATTGAGGTCGACTGTAGTAATTCCTTTACAAGGCTCAGTTTTTTCTTTTTTTCCCCCCCATGTCCAGTCCGACTGTGAAGCAATCAGAATTGATGTCTAAATGCTGAAAACCAGCCTTACAGTTTTATTCTCACAGGTGGAGTGTTATAGCACCTGCTTTAATGCCCCGCTTGATACCAAAATTTCATTAGAAATAACTTTAGTTATTTTAAACCCCAACGGACAGACTCAGTTTTTTCTAGTGTCAGACATAGTACTGTCCAATAACTATATTTGCAAATGAAAAATATCAAATAGGATGGAAAAACAAAAGTAACTGCTCCTCTGCAACGTTATCAGAGACAAATAACAGTGATCAAAGTAACCCTGTTAGTTGTGCATCTGGCCAAAACCTTTTAAATCTACAGAAAACGTTATTATTGTTCCACACTAACATGGATGGGAATGTGTATTGTGCATTCTTGATGAATGTTTAGCTAAAATCCTGCTCATGCAAAAATATATAAATAAAAGCACTAATCTGCATGGGCTCCATCTGCTGCCTCTTAAACAGCATTATTAAAAGACATATTGCAGCTTGTGGAAGCCTCATGGATCCAAGTGTGAAGGGAATGATAAAATAAACCGCTCCCGTCAGCAGCTGCATCACCAGTCGTCAGCTTAAAAATGAAAGTTAAATGATGAATTGACAGTTTGTGTAACAACACCGTTTGTCACATGGGCTGCACGGCGGCTGAATGTTTAAAGAACTCGTCGTCTCATGGACCAGCTGTCCTGTCACTTTGACAGTCCTTCAGAATACCAGTCGGTAAATTTTGTCATGCGTTCCATCTTCAGATCAAAGTGTTGAACATCTAAAATCGCCCACAGTGTCCCAGAACTAAGCAGCCTTTTAAAAATAGCTCCCAGAGCTTTGTGAACAGCGTCGTTCCTTATAGCTGCATGTTTCTAGGACAGACCGCCTTGTACAACAGGCCTGAGGGATCTGCAACCCCATCAAACTTTTTGAACAGACGTTCAACTTAGATGTCAAAATCAGAAAAGTTTGGCAAATCTTGCTATGTTTGATGATGTTTAAAACACTTATGAGCCCCACCAGAATCAGATTATAAATCTATAAATAAATAAACTCAAATATCATCACACGTTTATAAAATTTAGGGCTAATTAATCCCGTAACAACTTTTCTCACTGCAGAGATGATCCCAAATTTCACTTGTTCTTTTTTTTTATAATCCAGTTTCAGAAGTTAACCAGCTTCTGCCCTACAGGCAGGCAGACAGAGAGACAGACGAAACACTGCGGCAACAAGCAGCAGTTTCCATAGCAACTCTGAGGTAAAGCTGGAGAGGCTGTGATTGGCTGACAGGCCGGGTCAGGTCGTACCATGTCAGAGGGTTTGAAGGGGTTCCCCTGGCCGCTGATGCCACCAGAGATACTGAAACCGAGACCCGGGTTCTTCTCTATTCTTACACACAACTACAGAAGGAGAGGAGAGAAGCAAGGAGAGCAGAAAAACACACAAGGAAAGTTAAATACAAAGTCAGAAAACATCTCTCCAAGCACAGAATAAATAAACACGTGTTGGCAGCTAATTGGAAGTCTTCGTCTCTTTGGCAAGAACAACTGTGCCACAAATAAACTCGTCACTGTCTTTCAGTTTAACATAATAGAAGCCATCTCATGCTAGGAAGGGGGAAAGAAACCCCCTGAGGAGGTTTGGCTGTGCAGACTGGTGCAAATGGCTTCATGTTGGTATCTGAACTGGTACAGTGATCTCCATCTGTGGAGCGTGTCCGATTTAGAAGGACACCTCTGTGGCTCTTTCTGGATTGCTTTAAGCACCGGCTGTTGCTCTTTGATGGCTAAATTATATTTGGATGTCCTAATTACAGCCACATTTTGTCTGGATTAGTTGCTCGTTTACTGCTCCGACTTTAATAAAAGTCATCACAATCTATTTGCAAACATCAGGATCTCATTTGACATCATCGTGTGTTTCATTTACCACACACGTCTGCAGATTCAGTCCACTGCTTTGGTAACAGGTAGCAGAGAAACAAAGCAATCACCTGGTAGAATTGAGCATTTAAGGAGTAAAAATAAAAACACTACGAGATGTAAAGGCCAAAAATAGGTTTCTTTAGGCGTGTTTCCACTATCCGAATTTCAGGGTGATTTGACCAGAACTTCCCGGCATGCGCGTGTCTCTGCATCACTGGGCCAGCTGAATGGGCTGTTTTCAAGAACCAACAGAGTACTTGAACATGGGGACATACTCAGAAAATTCCAGTAGAGTCCCTGAACAGAACTTTTGGTTAACTCATGCTGATTGGTTGTACCTCAGTACCAGGAAATAACATCAGCAGTCGTCATTCAAAACAAGCAGCTAATAAATTTAGAGGAGTTGCTCGAGTAGGAGAATGGAAGCACAAGCAACCATTTGCACTGCTTTAACCCTCCCACTGTCTTCATGGGTGGCCCCGCCAGGAAGGTTGACCATTGAGCAGGATTGAGGTGGTGCTCACTCCTCACCCCTGCCATGTGGACCTCAAGGGTCAATGGTCAACTTTCCTGGCGGAGTCACCCATGAAGACAGTGGGAGGGTTAAAATGGCCGTTGCTGAACTCCCAACACTGAAAACCGAAGCCTCCACAACGACGTAATTCACGAGGCTTTGTTGTCTCACAGAGCAGCGTACAAATCGGTGCTTTTTCTGGTCATTGAATGCTACATTATACATCCCACAGCTGCTCTCCCAGTCCTCCGAATGGAATAAATTGCTTTGACAGAATAAAACTTTAAATGCAAAGCCCGCCGCACACAAGAGCAAACTGCTGAGCGGATGGCCTCGAATGACTGTTAGATCAGCAGAAACCTTGCTGTGCACCTAATTTTCAGTGAGTTTTCTGCCTCACGAGAGGCCGAGGTGAAAATCAAACCGTTTTGATATTTTCCGCCTCACGGGGGGTAGAAACTCACCGTGTACCTTGTCGATCGAAGGGCCCCCTGTTTCCACTACCCTCTTGAAGGATTCAGAATCCAGACGGCGGTACTGTCGGAAGGATTCTGGGTTTTCAAGGTACATCTCTTGGAGTAGATTGGCATAAACTCCTTGCTTGGCCCTGCTTTGCAGCCACCGTACCCATACTTTCCTAATCTTGAAATAACGGTAGTGGTGACGCCTCATCAACAAAGCAAGTAGAAGCATTTCCTCCATTTGCAGCTCTGTCTCCATTTTGTTTATTTTTCCCGACACACAGACAGGGAGCTGCCATCTTGAAATCATGTGAGCGGAGAATGCGCTTTTGATTGGTCACTAGAATATTCCAGCTCAGTCGCCAGCTCACGCAGTGTGCACACGGTGAGTTTCTACCCCCTGTGAGGCGAAAAATATCAAACCGGTTTGATTTTCACCTCAGAGTCTCGTGAGGTGGAAAACTTTGAAAATTAGTTGCACACATTGAGGTATCTGCAGAGCTAACAATCATTCGAGGCCATTTGCTTTTGTGTGTGGCAGGCTTTACTGTTGATGCTTTTTGGCCCGTGAGTGACACCACTCGAATGTCCTGAAAGAGCTGAATTTGAATGGAGATACAACAGCTGACAGGACCGAGCCATCTCATCTCTCACAACTTACTCTGAAGTTCCGACAATGGAGACACAACTTTTATCAGTGTTTTTTTCTTTAAAGCTACAATCAAGAGTTTTCCTCCTTTCAGGAGTTACGTAGGAATTATTAGAATCTGACCCTGTACTGTGATATAATGTAGGAAACATGTCAATATTTTTTTCTAAGCTCTTTCCTTGTCCCATGTAGACCCATGCAGTTTGACCTTCTCTGTGGCCTAGTGGTAGAGTATCTGCCCTGGGACTGGCAGATCAGGGTTCAAATCCCAGTTGGGTCATGCCAAAAACTTTAAAAATGGGACCCGATGCCTCTCTGCTTGACACTCAGCTTTAAGGGGTTGGACTGGTGGTTAAACCACTAAATAGTTTTCAAGTGGAGCCACTGCTGCAGTTCACCATGATGTCATTTCACCAGTGTGTGATGGTGACTAAAGGGACTTTAATTGAGTGCATTAGACATCCGCTTACGTACAAATGTCAATCACAGATTGTGCATGAATGTTTGAGCACGTGCCTAGACGAACGTAGAGTTAGCCACATTTCTGATGGACAAGTAAGTCTTTGAAATACAAATATATTTTTGAATAAACAAGATAATGTAAGACTAATAATTGTTAAACAATGTGTTTTGGCTCTGTTGCCCAGCTAGAGGCGCGAAGTAGGGAGAACAGTTGAAGGTGCAATACATTTTTCAGGCTCTAGATGGTACCATTGATAAAAAACTCTGGATTTGTGCTTTGAAAGTAATAGTATTCCCTATTTGAGCAAAGCCCCTATTTGCAAACAACAAATGTCTGAGAAAAAGGATCTGAGGCACTCAGGAGGAGAATGATTAAAAATATGTCTTTCTTTTCAATTATCCTCCTGAGTGCCTCTGATCCCTTTTCTCAAGTTACACATGGATCCCTCAACTGAAGAGCACCAGAGGTATTTGTACTCTTTCACACTCATGAAGCACTCAGCGTAATTGTTGCTGTTTTTCGACCTAACACTAGAATATTGTATTTCACGTGTTTACTTAAGGCAGACAGGTGGACAGACAGACGTACTTGTTCCTGAAAACCGTCCGTGCTCTTCTGGCCTTTGGTCTGCAACAGGCACCGGGCGCTCTGAGGCCGCGGGTTAGTGTGGGTGGTCATGACAACCTGGTTGCTGTGGACCATGCCTTGGTTGCCATGGTATTGGGGGTTGGTAGCAGGCAGGGGCTGCTGATGGGAGGTGTGGGGGTTGTACTGAGGTTGGTTCCCAGATGAAGACAGGCCCATGGGCAAGCCACCACCTGGGTAGGCCTGACCAGGAGAAGGAAGAGCTGTATGGAACAAAAATGAGACCGATCACCTATAAATATATCTTTTGTGTCTTAATGACTTGGAGAATTATTTTACAAAGCAAACATTTCTGTTCTTTGATCATTTACCTTGAGAAACGTTGCCCTGGTACTGCCCACCAGAGGTAACCACTGACAGAGCCATTCCTTGCTGGTATTGTCCACCTTTACTCATCATGCCGTCGTAACCCTGCTGCCCCACCACACGATGAGGCTGAGTGGCCGAGGAGGAAGAGGAGGAAGTGACAATCATGGTGTTGTGTGACTGGTGTGAAGGGTTGTGTGAATGTCCGCTCTGTGGACGGACGATGTGGAAGTCAGAGACATGGTGGGACAAATCAGTCAGCACACCGTCATGATCACTAGCTAAAATTAACGTGCTAGCTATTCCACTCTCTGACCTGTTTGATGTTTCACTCTGTGAGAGAAGCCTTTCATAGGGTAGAAACAGAATTTTACATCCAGTTCTTACCTTCTTCATAAGGTTGTCAGGTGGAACATCCCTTCTTCCAAGTGAGTAAGGAGCCCACTGGTTGTTTCCTGACACCCCCTCCTGGTCATTATCCAGCATTGCGCCCTGCTGAGAGGGGGTCTGAGAGAAACACACAGACTTTTACTGAAAAGAAACACAATGTCTGAGTTAAAATTCAGGAACCAGCTTTTGTTTGCTTGAGTTTGGAGAGTTGGTTGTTTTAAATAGGAACTATGCTGTAACTCTTTACATTTAAAGGAGCAATATGTAAAAACTCTAAAGTGAAATAATCTAAAACAATCATGTTGAACGGAAAGTTAAATTATGTTATTTCTCCACTGAGGGACATATAAAGGTATTCTTATCTTATATTGAAACAGACTGTATGGGCCTCTAGAACCCAGATGGTTCTCTGTTTCGACACACCTGGTTTTAATTGGCAGGTGATTAACAGGCTTCTGCAAAGCTTGATGACCTGCTTAAGGCTTACAATTCCTCAAACTAAAGATTGAGAGAAAACTGTTTTTATTCATGTGTGGAGTGTTTATAGGGGCAGTAGAGATCCACAAAAGCATTTAAAAGTGAGTTTTGCATTATATGTCCCCTTTAACTCATTCGCTGCCAGCGTTTCTCACCGTTTTTACAGTTTTTTTAAGAGTCACAGAACGTAGGATGATGTCGCCGCCAAAACAACCAAAACAAAAAGGAGACTCACCTCTTACATCAGGAAGAATCCGCGCGTTTCGAGCGTTATCCGTTCTTTCATGATCCGTTGTTGAATTGTGATCGGCAGAAGCTTTACGGTTCGTGCCTCACTTTTTTTATTTACAGGGACGGCCCAAAACGATCTCCTAACACATGGATTTTCTGCTTCCTGATCACGTGACGTGTGACGTACGCAGATGAAGATCGGCTTTAGAGCTGGGATGTTTGTTCTCATGGTGCGGGGGCTCGTTCCGACACCCACACAGTAAAAAAAAATGCAAATGCTAACTTAAGTCGTCATTGGCATCGAATGAGTTAAGACAGCAACATTTATTTCGAGTTTGGATATTTTGGTCTAGTCATCTGCTCTTTAGTCTACAAAGTTGTGAACGCTACTTCTCTAAATAGAAGCTGTTCATTAGAAAGAAATTAGAATAGAATAACCTTTATTGTCTCTGTACAAGGTACAGCGAAAGTGGAGCGCCACTCCCTTTGGTGCAAATTGTAAAAGAATACAGGAAAATAATTACCGAATAAAATAAATGCAAAATCAGCAGTAATATTTACAAATATACACAGAGTAGCAGCGTTTGTGATGCAGCAGCATTAGTTAATTTATAATTTATAATTGTTATGCAGAAAAAAACATTTCACAAACAGCCAAACATCCTCGCTTTAAAGCCAAAAAACAAGGTTTTACCTAGACGTCTTTGATAAAAGTGTCATAATTTGTAGCACCTTAACTAGATCCTCCATAGACTGCGATAGCAACAGTTTGGTGGATGGTGCCACTTTTGCTGACTGAGATAGTAGATGTAGGTATAAACACTAATAAATAATATTTAAGATGAAACATACACAAACAACAAATGACACTATTAAAGGAGCAGCAGCTGCAGTTCCCTCTAAGTCTACAGCTGCGTGCGACAATAGAGCTAAGGGTTTCATTGTTCTTAGTGGGATACTCACAGCGATGGCAGATGGAGGAGGAGGTAGTGGCAGCCAGCGGCCAGCAGGGGGCTCATGCCTAGTGTTATTGTAAAGGTTAAAGTTCAAACTGCTGCTGCGCCCCTGGCCGTGACCCCCGCCCTGATAGAACATGCCCAGCGTGAGCGTGTTGTGCTTTAGGACACCACTCTGATTGGAGGAGACAACATCACACGACACGGGTGAATGAGGGGGAGGGGAGGGGAGAGAGGTGGAGCCAACATTGAGAGCCAACACAGCTCCACAAAAGAAACAACAAACAAACAAACAAACAGCAAAAACACTGATAAAACCAACAACAGTGCAGAGTTGCTGAAAGCACAGAGAAATGTTAGCTAGTGACTGGTCAATACGCACATAACATTGTGTCATACAAGCAACAAGAGGTGGCTCATTTCATTCCAACAGCTTTCAGAGAAGAAACATACAGGAACACTTCAGCAAACACATTGATTTATATGTGAATAAACCTATAAAAGATCCTTGTGCTGTCGGGTGACACGATTCAGAGCTTAAGCTATTCCTTTAAAAATGTGTTTCAGTGATTATTGAGGTGGAAACTTTACCAACTTCAGATTGGGCAGCACTCTGCAGCACTCTGCTGACCATGAACGGCACTTATCAGTTTTGTGGGATCGATAGATCCGCAAAGTGGAGCTCTCTACTTGCTTTAGCTGTTGTTATGTACGCATGGGTTGTTTTCTGTTCTTTAGAATTTTTTTGTGTTCTTTTAAAAATGTAAATTTTAATGTGCAAGTCCCCTTCTGTAATTGGTAGATGGTCAGGTGTTCCTGATTGGGTGACTGGGAGGAGCAGACCTGCTAATAATTAATACTAATAATTAATTAATTAATATAATGTGTATGAGAACATTGATTAAAGCACAAATCATTCAAACATTTGATTTAACATCTTGTTCATTCAACACATATGATTATTTCAGCTTATAAGTTGTAAAGTCACGTAGGAACTTTGAGGAGGTTGGCTTTTATTTAGAGTGAGGATGCAGCAGTCTGACTGCTGTTTGAGGCCTTGAGCAAAGATATTATGGCTTCTTTGCAGTACCAAGAACTGGGGCAGAGCTTTATTTTGGATTCGGAGGCCAGACAGACAGTGTTTTTGTGTCTGCAAATGAAAGGTTAACCTCTGGTTGAATTGTTGGTGAAAATAGGACCACTGGTACATTACAGAAGAGCTGTGCCCTCCATTTTCCTGCCCATGCCAACCAGCCACCATTCGTTTGTGGCCTGTGTGAAAATAGTAATCAGTTTTAGGATTTGTAAGGGTGAACTGCCTTTTATTTTATCCCAGTTTTCTCCCATTTGGCTTGCCAGGGAGGTAAGTTTGGTTTGTCTCTTGGTTCCTTAAATTTCTAGGTAAGATGGTTGTTTGAGTTAGAGGTGTTTTGCTATTTTGGCCTTGGATCACCCTAAACTTTTAATCCTCCCTCACCCTTAGTTAGTGCACTTTTGTAAATAAATTATTGTTAATAGTTTCCTTTGGTGTGGTTGCTTGGGATCGGTGGTTAAGGGTGGACCAACTCTATGTTGCGGCCTGGCCCCTCATAGACGAGTTGTAACACTGTTTACTCTGCCGATAGCTGATATAAAGGCTAGCAGCTAACTTTTTTAATTCTTCGACTGTCAACAAAAGGCACAAGAAGAAGAAAAAGAAGAATTTTGCTTTTTGGTCATCTCCAGAGACAAAGCAAAGAGCTAAAACCTGAAAAGCCCTGACATGGCCTACACTCATTCGAGGGAGTTGAAGGAGGCTACGAAATCACAGACTGATGGTGACCTGGCTTAGTTGCTCCTGGACTTGTAAATAATAATAAGCATCATACAGCTGTTCTCCTTGTCCCCTGAATGGATTAAGTTGTGGCATACTTTGTTTGACAGAAATAACTTTTGTAATGTTATTATTATCCGTGGATTCCCTTTGATCGCAGTACCGCAGCACATTCCTAATGTCGTGATTCTTGTACGTAATGTATGGCAATAAAACTCTTCTGATTCTGATCAATTACTGCCAAAATGGTTGCAATACGCTGTCGTTCCAGCAAGGTCCTGAAAAGGACGATTTTGTAAGGAGACACAACGGCTGCGAGGACCGAGTCGTCGTATTTTCCATGTCACCTTTCTCCCTCCCGAAAATTTCATAAAGCTCCTATAGCGGAAACACAGCTTAGGTTTTATTTAATATTTACTAAAATGTTAACTGTAATGTCTCAAGAATTGTGTTGCTGCTTAGGAATTCAAACGCACTGACAGTTATAGTATATGTAAAATATCTGATATCAATTCATGGAATCTCAAATGAAATGTTTTACGTTTGGGTAGAGTCGGCATTGTATTTTTAGGTTCTTTTGTGAATTAGAAAAAAGTCATGGCATTGTAGGATCTTCAACATTTCCTCTTAATTGACAATGATTCAGGGGATCTCTTGTCTTTTTTAAAGCAAGTGAAAATTACAGCAAAGTCTCTTAGTTTGGGCGCAGCGTCGAATTAGCAACTCGTTTTAAAGGTTTCCAACAAGCTAAAACCTTTTTCTGTTTAGAAATGTCTTGGTGACTTTTCACTTGTTTAGAAAAAGAGTTAGGACATGAAAAGACTTGATTGTTTATCACAATGGAGATTCAGTTGAGTTGCATGTAAGGAAATGTGATACTGGTGCAGTAAGTCAGGCTGACACAGCGACGGTGTGGAGTGAACACATGCAGCCGCACACAAATCTGGTCAACCTTACAACACAGACTTACACTGATGCAAACAGGGAGGGCTTCCCAATGCTGTGTGTTTGTGTGTGTCATGTGAGGGGTGTACTTTTCATGGCGAGTGCCTGCGTTGCATCCACGTACCCTGTCCAATCGTTTAGCCTCTATGTGCCTGAGAAGTTGTTGCCTCCAGTCGGCTGGCATCTTGGAAGTGATGTCTTCAGGTTTCTGCGGCACCACGGGCCTTACTTTGATGGTGTCCTCGGAAGATTTCTCTGGACAGGTTGCCAGGGTGTAGTCAGGTGGCATTTTTTCCAGCAGAGCAGCCATGGTGGGACGAGCAGACACGGGACGAGCCTAACAAAAAGGAGGCCGTAAAACATGAACGTTGTAAGATTTGCACGAGGCAGTGGAGCTTAGCCCTGTGAGGATGAGGGTATTTGTACTGCGTATTCACTTTTGAGTTTCGGTTGAAGTCAGCAAGAATAGGACCGGAGCCACGAGTGTAATACATAATTTCCAAGCCATAGTTTTCTTTGTTTGCCCTACTTCTTCGTGATGAAAGGTGCCAGATGAAGAGCTTTGTCTATCTAATCAGTATGCTGCTGGACACGTCTTTGTGACTATTTTAGAAATGTCTGACTCGAGGCAAGCCCAGAACAACCGGAGGGGATTATTTATAGATAAGGGACTGTCTTGGAATTTAGGATGCAGCAAAGCACCACTGTGCTTAGTTTGCTGCTGAAATAACCCAGACCTGTGAAATCAAAGCATAGTGAACTTGTAATGCCCAGTCATGCCCAACAACCCGGTGGGATCAGGTGAAGAAAGTACAATAAAAGAAAATGAAATATCCTCAAATACACATGGCTCAGGTAACAGTGATAGCCTTACCTGGGAGGCTCCATAGGTCTCAGTACTGTAGCTCCTAGCTGACAGGGGGCGACGTTGTGTTAGACTTTTGGTTGGGTAACCAATCATTGGCTTCTTCTGTTCTTGGTAAGTGGGATAGTCGTCGTCATAGCGACCGTTCCTTTTATTGTGCATCATTTGATTTTGGTTGTCAGCCATGTTGGTGAGTGCAGAGTGGTCCATGGGGGAGGAATAGGCAAGAGCACGACTATAATGCGGGGGGTCTGACTGAGAGAGTAAAAAGGGGCAAAGGTTTCATCAGGCCATGCAATGAAACTAAGAAGATATATGAGAGCTCCAGATTTAAAAAGTGACTGGTTTGATTTTCAACAAGTAGCTTTTTTAGCACATGCATTAGTCAATTAATGAGCCTAGTTGATATGCCCCCCCCACCTGCTGTTTGTATTGAGCTTCCTGTAGCAGCGCCTCCTGCTGGGCTTCATGAACTCTGCGGAACAAAGCGAGCTCCGTAGAGCTCACCAGAGAATCGGCTCTCCTCAGAAACCCTGGCCTGGAGCGCTGCGTTGAGATTGTTTGATGCTGCTGGCTGGGTGGGCCGTCTTGACTGATTGGTGTTTGAGGGAAAGAAAACATCTCCAGTGGCGGGTATGCCCGATACCGCGGGCTTACTAGCTCTTTGGGCAGTGTCTTTCCTGGTTGATTCAAGTAGTCCATAACCTTTGATGAATGGTTAACGTAATCTGGTGTGTTGGGAAACGGGGGAGGGACTCGACGATCCATGGTCACCTGATTGGGTAAAAATTTTTAAATGAAGATTATTTCATTTAATTGTAATAATAATAATAATCAGAATTCATAAAAGAGAGAAACTGCCTGACCTGTGGGTTGTAGTTTTGGTCAAAGTGATAGGCCTTTTGGGGAATGGCAGGCTTTGGATTGTGGTTGGCTCCATGTCCTGGAAAGATCATCTCATCATCTAACATGGGGGCAGACTGAGATCGTGACATGCTGGTCTGTTCCATAGAGCCAGGGAGCTCGGAGCGGTCCAAGCTAGTCTGCTGCTCAATGGATGAACTATAGCTTTCCATGGGAATACTGCAAAGAGAGAAAACCATTTACGGTCCAACCACACAAAAAAAACTTGCTTTAAAAAACTAGGTCAAATCATACCTGTAGACTTTGTAGGAGCCAATATCGATCTCATCTATGCTCTGAGACTTCTTGAACTTGGATCTTGTCTCCTTCATCATGGGGGACAGGCGGTCTGAGCTTTTACTCATCACAACAGTTACCTTGTTGCCCCCGCCGACAGTGAGCTGATCTTTCCTGTTCTGATCTCCCTGATTGTTGTGATATGTCCAGCTTCCGGGCAAAGGCCCTGAACCTGGATCCAGCCTTGCAGCAAATACATGAGACAAGTCAATGAGGCGGTTAATGGATTAACTAATAATAATTGAAAAAGCTATATTAGAATTGCAGTAGTAAAATACAGATGCTAATGAAGCTGTGTGATTGCGGTGAAATGATCTCAGTAAGTTAGGCAGTTATATTCCACTGTATGTATTTGTTGGACCAGTTGAACATTTTTGTGCAAGACTCCAAATATTTGGGCAGGTGTTTCCCAGGAGCAGAGTGACTGTCGCTTGATCCAAAACCTTGTTGGCAGGATGCAGGATCACGCCCCCCCCCCCCCCCCCCCCCCCCCCCCCCCCACTGTATCTTTCTAAGTGGATTTAAATCCAACCGATTTGGATATTGGATGGAATAGAAAATAAACAAATTAGTCTTCGCTATACACGTAACAAACAAAAATAAAATGCCCTGCAATTTTTTAAGTAATAATTTAATAACTTCATAGTTACTCATTCAAATAATGCAAAAAATGACTAATGAAACAATACAAACAATTTTCCGAGTTAAAACCGTCTGATTTCCTGTTCCTTACCTTGAGTCCATGTCCTTCCGATCGGGGTTGGGGCTTGACGTTGGGGTTAGGTCCAGCTTTGAAGGGAAAGCAGTCCTATCTTCCAGCGGGCTTGGGGTCCTAGTCCAATTCTGCCAGGGGTTCTGGGAATGAGGCCCAGAGGACTGTGGATCACTGTCCGGATTAGAACGTTGGTTACCATGATAGGAGAGTGTCTGGGTGTCCAGCTCCAGGGGGACTCCTACAATTCGATCTTGCCTGAGGAGAGGGCGGCGTCCATGGGCCGACTGGCTGCGGGGTTTGGAGCCCAGTGGAGGGTTTCCCTGGCTGGTATTAGATGGGGGGTCCAGAGGAGACTCTTCCGCGTCAAACCCTGTGTTATCATAGTGAGGGGCCTCAGCCCAGTCAAAAGGCTCGCTGAGTGGACGGCGGTCTCCACGTTGCTGTAGGGTCCCTGATGGAGGGGTTTCCCTCTGAGAAAGCAGGGGCTTGGAGTCAATGGGTTTGGGAAATGACTGGGCAAGTCTACAAAGATGGGAGAAATAACAGCTAATCATACAGTGAAGATTGTTAAAAATGCTGTGCTACATTAACGAGTATTATGATGTGCGTCAAAGGGAGATGAGAACTGCATGCCTACCAACCAACTAATGCCACTTACACACTAGCATCCACTCCGCTCCGCCTGCCCCAGCCCGGCTGCGTTCGTTCCACACTACCTTAGCAACGTGGGCGTGATTGAGTACATGGGCGGTATGTGGTCTGTGATGTCACAAGCACATGTAGGCGGGGCAAACGAGCGCAGAGAAGTCTGCAGTATCTCCATTATTAAACAAAAGTAGCCTGAGCAGTCTTGCTTTTGGAGACTCTCACATCTGCGGGCTGATTCTTTCTGCCAATCGGAGGCTTCCCCTAATGGTAGGTGTGCTTTGAGCTGGCCAATCAGTCAGCAGTGGGCGTGTTGGGCCAGTTTGGCTCCAGGCAGATCTCCTCAGGAAGAGGGCTGAAAAGACGTCCGGTTGCACGTGGGAAAATCCAAGGCCGCCTAAAGGAGAACACTCCCATACTGGTCCAGGCAGAGTGGAGCCGATGCTAGAGTGTAAGGGCCAGTAACATTTGGTGGATTATGGGCCTACTGATATTATATATGGGTGTCGGAAATTAAGAGTTGGTCTATATCAAATATTGGTAAAAAAAGCTGATATTGGACATTCCTATATATGTCTGAAAACAAAAATAACATTTCCCAAAGTATTCAAACTCCATTTCTGCGTCAAATGCAATGTTTTGCAAGGATGCAGCCCCTGAAAAAAAGGAATATAGTGCACCGACTGTCATGTGCGTACCCCAGGGCATGTGAAATAACAAAACAAATGTCAAAAAATACCAAAAAGACATGTCCCTCTGCAGGGGTTCCTCAGAGCACACAGAGCCCCAGAGGCATTGGAAGTGAGGGAGAAGTAAACATATTTACCAAGAGTATGTGCATTCCCATGTGTTGATACTGAAAAATACTTGTCTGTCATAAATCACAACCTGAATCAAATTTATTTGAAACGATTTAGGTGATAATGTAATAAATGTGGTATGCAAGCTAGTATTAATATTTTGCTGATTTTTGTTGTGACATTTCTAATAGAAGATGGATTAAAAACATGTTTTATTATCACGTGTTTTTTAGCTCCAGGTCCACTACAACCAGAATAACGACTTGAACAAAAGTACCATAAAGTAATTATAGTAAAATAATCTCACAATAAAAATAATTGCTTGTCTGAATCTGAGGAGAAACAAGGTGAGAAAAAAACATCCTGAATGCACGTCTGCAGCATCCTAATGAGCCTCTCTGATCTTGATGGAGCAAACAGAGAGATGAGGAGGGTACACCGAGATGGAGGGAAGGAAAGACGGATAGCGACTGGATAGGGGGATGAGATACGTGACGGATTTGAACTAAAGAAGAAGATGACACAGATGGTTGGAAGGAAACCCAAATGGTTAGAAAGTGTGTGTACCTGTTGGTCCAGTGTGACTGGGGGACCTGGTCCTTACTGGGAGGCGGCAGGGCAGGAGTGTGTGTGTGGGGGTGAGAATGTGTGTGTGAGTGTGTGTTTGCAGACGGATTGGAGGAGCCAGAGGAGCCTTGTGAGGGAGAGTAGTCCGAGTAGGTTGCAGAGGAGCCGCTGTGGTTCAGACAGTGGAGTTTATCTACGTCCTCGTCTGTGGACTCTGGACGGAGACAGACGCAGAAGGACAAATGCTGATATTCACTGAAAATGTCACATCTTCACTCTAACAGCCTCTTGCTCTTGAGCTGACAAGAATACAGATAAAAAGATACCTCTCCAAGCTTTTTCACTTTTTGTCTTTTTAAGAAATACAAAACGAGCAACTTCTGCTTGAAAAGGCAAATTGAGGCGTTTTTCCTGAACAAATCATGAAATATAATTTAGCAACAATGATAATTTGGATTATTTTCAAGTTTAAGACGTCCATGGAACAAAGAGAAAAAATATGATATACATGGTGAATCAACCTTTAAAGCCTGACGTGTGTAATTATGACAAGTGAAGGCTACGTTCATACTGCAGACAGCACATCAAATCCACTTTTTCCCCCACATGCGACCCATATCTGACTTTTTTGTGTACTTTCTCCTCCAGCTAAATTCTCCGTGCCGATACAGATAGCAAATCAACCATCGTTTACATTTTTGCATGAAGTATTAGTTGTGACTGCTCGTTTTCTTTTTCTGTTTGTTTTGAGGTAATTATTTGTCTCTTTGAATTCTACGTTGTTGTACTTTTTATTTAATTTTTTTTGTGTTCAAAATAAAGATAAATAAATAAAATAAGTAAAGTAGAAGAAAAAGAAGAAACCATCTTTTAATAACGCCTCTCAAGACAAAAATCACAAGGACACTTTTTAGAAATCAAGAACAAAAATTAAATGATTACAAACTACAATAAACATTAAAAAGGGATGATCAAAAGTTTAAATTTCTATTAGTCACTGCTAATAAATAACAAACCACACGAAAAAGGTGTTTCAATCAGTGATGTAGATCAGTTACTGGCTGCAGAGATCACAGAGTGTTGCATCTTTATTTTTCCTTTTGTATTAATCAACAGTATCAAAGCAGCATTTGCATTAATAATTTAAACCCACCAAAAGACACGCTACGTAAATTATTTTACAACTTGTTCCCTGGAGAAAAAGCAGATTGATTAAAGCTTTTTTTTGATCCAGAGTTTAAGATGTGATCTCAGACGATGCGATTAAAGCATTAAATTATTTAACGCTAAAACAGAGTTTTGATGAGGCATTAAGATGAGCTTTGTTTTCCTCAGATGAAACTGAAGCCTTCAGGGCAGAATAAGCGAAGCAGGATGAACTAAACGCTGCTTCTAGCAGGCAGAAGCTTACAATTACTGCAGAGGTTCTTAGCACTTTCTCTCTGTGTGTCTCTTTGTGAGGCACAACATAATATCGTACCTTTCTTATCCTTCCCCAGCAGCACCACCTTTGGTTTGTACATGGGCGGCTCCACCAGAGTGGGTCTCATGTCCGAGATACGGATGTCGTTGGGAGAACCACCCATGGAGTCCTATAGGGGGGAAAGAGATGTTTATGTTTATGTATTTAGCAGACGCTTTTGTCCAAAGTGACTTACAAGTGATATGGTGAGATTGACATCCTAGGGTAACAAAAATCCTGCATAAAAACCACTCTGCATGCAGAAAGCATGTTTGTGTTCTTTAAGTGTGTTTTTGTGTTTATGACAAACCTCCGAGCTCTCTGTTAAATCCTCTTTGTCCTTCCTCTTGGGAATGTCGATGCCAGAGTTATGCATCGATCCCTGATCCATCAGCTGGGACTGAGAGAAGTCCTGCATCTCTCTGTCCGTCACCTGATAAAACAGTTTATTTTTTCACATGAAGTCATGTTTTTGGCTCAAGTCTAACTAAGTTCCTAGCTAAGTCTGGTTAAAGGTGTTTGTCTCCTTCCTTGTAAATGTTATTTTCATTCTGACCAGTGCTCAGTCTCCTTTTTCTTTGAGTGGTTTACTGCCTGAGTATCTTTTATTTTTACCTCTTTGGGAGGCAGGGGCCATGGTGGTTCATATGGCTCTTTGCTGAGGTGCGTATGCTCCATGTTGGTTCCTGCTGAGGTGGCACTGCCCGTGCTCAGCTGGTGCTGGTGCGCATGGCCAGGATGTCCGCCTTTACCCACGAGACTTTGCACCGACTTAACCATGTTCTTGAGGTCCTCGGGGTAGGGGGTCGGGTAGCGCTTCAAGTTTATTTCAACCTTCAATGATAAAACGTGAAAAATCCAGATTAATTTATCTATTTTGTTGTTTTAAAGGTGCACTATGTAAGAACGAAGTAAGATTGACATTCTGTGGTCAAATGTGGTTACTGCAATCCATTTTTCTAAACAAAAAGTTACTTTCTCTCTGTCGTTCAGTGAGTTTGATGGTTGATGCCAGTTATGGATCAATGCCAGAAGATTGTAGATGACAAGTGAAGACGAGTCATACGCAGTCAGTAGATAAGTAGATAAACACATTGTCGTATATGGAGTTAGCACTCTCGGGTGGGTTAGGGTTAGGGAGCGCTTACCTATTACAGTAATATGCCTCCAGCATCAGAGGAGGTGTAGTTATATGCCATCTTGCTGTTAGCTTGCTGAACGACTCATTACAGGAAGTAAAGCGCCACGATTGACTAATCATTCACTTCACACATACGTTTCACTGTGATATCAACACTTTGGCAATTAAAAAAGTAGCTTGTGATATTTTAGATCTGACTATTTATTTTAACAAGTGAATTTCGCCACTGTGGGGTCAATAAAGTCTATTTTATTCTATTCTAATTCACCGTTAGCGCGGTTAGCTCAACGTTCACCCAATATTAGAGTAAAACAAAAACAAAACATAATTTCTGGGTCGCTTCTGTTTACTGGCTTTGGATCTTTAAACAACTCTTGAGCTTTTTTGCCTGCTGGTGTTAAATTGCAAATGTTGGCACTGCTGCGTTAGCTTGACGCAGACTCAGCAACCTCTCCAAACTCACTGACACAGTAAACTACGCCCTTTTGGCCATTTTGAAAGGAGAAAATCTGACAATCCCCAGCCGGCTGACAATGAAATCTGTTTCAGTGTAACCTTCCTTCTTGCATGATTGAGACGTTAGAGTATTTTGTGATTGTTTCACTGTAGAATTCTTACACATATCTCTTTTAACCATCTGCTTCGCACATTTCGCTTCAACAACTGACTACATTATCAGACTCATACTTCTTATTGTACAATACTACTGGCTTTACGTAATACTCATTGAGTTAAAGTGACGAAGGTCTGACCTTGACTTTCCCAGAGTTGTCTTCTTCATCTTTCTTGTCCTCAAAATCAAAGGCGACAGTCATCCTCTGCTGCCTTTGCTCCTCCCACAGTGTAGGATTAAAGCTGTCACTGTCTGACTGGTAATCTGAACACATACAAGAACATAGCAGCGATTAATGATCAGGCTTGTACTTCTACTGCAGTAAACTGTCAGGTACACGTGTCTGCTGGTCCACATGGAGCGTATAACAACACACAGCATACCTAAGTGTAATCAAACCAACTCAAAACATGCTGTGACCTTTTCTAAATGTCCTAAAACAAGATTCATACGCTGAATCTCTTTCTCTCTCTCTCTCTCTCTCTCTCTCTCTCTCACACACACACACACACACACACACACACACACACACACACACACACACACACACACACACACACACACACACAGAGTATGTACCCTCATCGTGCCGTGGCTGTTGAGGAAACATGTAGTTGGTCAAGACCTTCTGTTTGGTTTCTGGATGGGCTTCTGTCTGCAGTGGGATCAGAGCCTTGGACTGAAAGCAGACACACACATTAAAAATATTAGCAAGGCGCTAAATTTTGAAAGTTATTGCTGAAAAGAGAAATCTTTGCATTTTCCAACCTAAAACTGGACCAGTTATTCATGGCCGCTATTAAAAGATGTAATGCATGAAACATTTAACGATTAAATCCTTAAGGTGAACCCTAAAAGCCTAAGAGGCATTTTTGTGTATATATTGTTTATTTGGGTCCGATTTTGTCAGATAAATAAATGTTGACGTTTGTTTTGGTCGTGGCGGAGGCAAAAACAGGCGTTGGAGGAGTTCGGTGAGACCATGGAGCAAGACTTCTGTGTGGGTTCGAAGAGATTATGGTCCACCATCCAGTGCCTCAGGAGGGGAAAGCAGTGCACTACCAGCAATGTTTAAAGTGGGGATGGTGTGCTGCTGACCTCTACTCTGGAAGTTGTGGATCGGTGGGCAAAGTACTTCGAAGACCTCCTCAATCCCATCAGCATGTCTTTCGGTGAGGAAGGAGAGTCTGGGGGCTTTGGGTTGGACTCCAATGTCTGGGGCTGAGGTCACTGGGGGATGGATGAGATCTGCCCGGAGTTCCTAAAGGCTCTTCGATGTTGTAGGGCTGTGTTGCTGATGTAGCTCTGTAGTATCTCGTGTACAATGGGGGCAGTTCCACTGGACTACCAGACTGGGGTGGTGGCCCCCCTATTTAAAAAAGAGGACCACAGGGTGTATTCCAACTACAGGGGTTCACACTCCTGAGCCTCCCTGGTAAGGTCTATTCAGGGGTTCTGGAGAGGAGAATCCATCAGATTGTAGAACCTCAGATTCATGTGGAACAATGTGGTTTTCATCCTGGCCGTGGAACACTGGACCAGCTCTATGCTGCCCTTAGGGGGGTCCTGGAGGGTGTGTGGGAGTTCGCCCAACCAATCTACATGTGTTTTGTGGATTTGGAGAAGGCATTCGACCTCGTCCCTTGGGGTTTCCTTTGAGGGGTGCTTCGAGAGTATGGGGTACCAGGCTCTTTGATACGGGCTGTTAGGTCCCTGTATGACAGGTGTCAGAGCTTGGTCCGCATTGCCGGCAGTAAGTCGAGCTTGTTTCTGGTGATAATTGGACTCCGCCAAGGCTGCCCTTGGTCACCGATTCTGTTCATAACTTTTATGGACAAGATTTTTAGGCGCATCCAAGGTGTTGAAGGGATCTGTTTTGGTGGCCTAAGAATCAGGTTTCTGCTTTTTGCAGATGATGTGGTCCAATGTGCTTACCTACTCAGTGGCCTAGTGGTAAAGTGTCCGCCCTGGGACTGGGAGATTGGGGTTGAAATCCTGATTGGTTCATACCAAAGACTTTAATAATGGGACCTAATATCTCCTCTAAATCCAAGACCATGGACCTGAGTTGGAAAAAGGGTAGAATGTCTTCTCCAGGTCAGGGACGAGGTCCTGCCTCAAGTGGAGGACTTTAAGTATCTAGTGGTCTAGTTTACGAGTGAGAGAAAGATGGAGCGTGAGATCAATAGGTGACTTGGTGCTGCGTCTGCAGTGATGTGTCATGGTGAAGAGAGAGCTGAGCCGGAAGGTGAAGCTCTCGATTTACCGGTCGATCTATACGTTCAGCGCTTTGTTTGTCTATTTGGACCATGCGAAAGCGCTTTATAAATAAGGTTGATTTGATTTGATTTGATTTCCTACCCTCGCCTATGGTCACAAGCTTTGGGTAGTGACCGAAAGAACGAGATTTTAGATACATGCGACCAAAATTAGTTTCCTCTGCAAGGTTTCTGGGCTCTCCCTTAGAGATAGGGTGAGAAGCTTGTTCATCTGGGAGGGGCTCATAGTAGATCTGCTGCACCTCCACATCGAGAGGAGCCAGTTGAGGTAGCTCGGGCATCTGGTTAGGATGTCTCCAGGATGCCTTCCTGGTGAGGTTTTTCAGGCACGTCCAACTGGGAGGAGACCTAAAGGACGACCCAGGACAAGCTGGAGAGACTATGTCTCTAAGCTGGTCAGGGAACGCCTCCTGGAGGAGCTGGCCCAAGTGGCTGAGGAGAGGGAAGTCTGGGCCTCTCGGCTTAGGCTACTGCCCCCGAAACTCCAGATAAGTGGCCAAAAATGGGTGGATAGATGGTTTGTTTTGGCTTTTGGCCAATTTAACAAATGAAATTAAACTTGAAATACCATTTTGCACTTTTAACATTAAAGTTAAGCTTAAAAACTAAATTAGACTTGAACATGGAAGAACAGATCAACCTAAATAACATGACTAACTAACATGAAGCCTTAAGTAAAAAAAATAATCTGACATAAAAAAACTAGTGATGCAATAAATATAGTTTACATGCACTAATAAAAATGAGAAACATTTCTAGTTGAGAGTTTTGAACATGCATGCTTGTTTAATAACTTTAATCATATTAATGCTAGCAATGTGGGACTTATTAATAATATGTTTCGCTCTTAAACAGCCCCAGTATTGTGATTAATCTGCTGATAGATTTTGATGTTTTTGCCACATATTAATTAGCAGATACAGGATCTCAAAGCATGTAGGAAGAGGGAGAGACACCTGATTGTCTGAGAGCCACAGAGCTGCCAGGTCCTTCAGCTTGGTGAAGCTGAACGGTAGATTCTTTAACCTGAAAATGAGAGACAGAGATAGTGGGAAGGAGGGACAGGTGGGACAGAAAAGAGAGATGTTTCTCCTGCCCATGCACTGTACAGCCTGCAGAGAATGTAACCATGGCAACACACTTACTCGTTCCCATGGTAACTGCTGGCCAGGGGTGAACGAAGAACAAAAGCGGCCGTAGAAAAGTGTTGTCTACATGTGACCCTGTGGTCATGTTTGAGTTTCAATTCCGCCTTTACCTTAGTGCATGTGAGTGTGTGTGTGTGTGTGTGTGTGTGTGTGTGTGTGTGTGTGTGTGTGTGTGTGTGTGTGTGTGTGTGTGTGTGTGTGTGTGTGTGTGCGTGTGTGTGTGTGTGTGTGTGTGTGTGTGTGTGTGTGTGTGTGTGTGTGTGTGTGCGTGTGCGTAAGTACGTGCGTCTGTGTGTGTGTACCTGTTGTCGCTGAGGTTAAGGACACGTAATTTGGTCATCTGTCCAATTTCATCGGGAAGAAACTCCAGTTTGTTGGACCGAAGTGACATCACTGTCACATTCTTGCAGTTACCAATCTGAAATGCATGGGCGCACGCACACACACACACACACACACACACACACACACACACACACACACACACACACGCAAACCAACCATCAGGCCACTTTAACTCATTAGCAAGGTCTTCTACAAAGGCTCCTCGTGTTAGAACAACACACACTTCAGTGATTTTACATTTTAAACTGTTTGAGTTTGATTATTACTTTGAAGGAAATGCAACAGTGTTACAATATTTGTACTAAATACATTTTAATGTCAACAATACCAGACATGTCTCATACCAGAATGTCTGTATATGAAATGGTCACTTTTTCACAGCTGAGAAGCTGGAGGCTTATGAGATGAATGGGATCATGTGATGCCCCTACCTCTCGTGGCAGCTCGGTGAGGAAGTTCTCATCAGCAGCAAAAGTCCTCAGGCTGTGCAGGTAGCCAACGGTGGGAGGCAAAGACTCCAGCTCATTACAGCTGCAGTCCAACTCCTCCAACAGAGACAGACTGGATGACAGAGATACAGAGCATGACGAAGAAACCACTCAGACGGCCACCACACATCAGCAGAAACGGATCCTAATACTTAAACAGCCTGATGACGCTAAGATGCATTGCTCCTTCATAACACTGGATGCACACAATTCATTTTAAAGTCCCACCACATGCTGTTCTGAAGCTGGAAATACAAAGCAAATGCATACAAATCTGCAACTGAGACAGCCTCAAACAAACAAACACGCAAACAAACTTAAACAACATTTTTTTCTGACTTAGACCGGTCTCGTCTTTTCTTTGGGATTCTGGCTGGACCAGAACGATTGGGCGAGCTCGCCAGAGAAGTGAGGATGCTGGATAGTTTCAGTTTTTATAAAGAAATTCAGAAAATTACAAAAGACTTGCAGATAGAGCAATACTTAAATAAGCCAATCAAAAGAACACACACACACACACACACACACACACATCTATATATATTAAAACCAGGATTGCTCCTTCTAGTCTATTGGATGCCCTCTGCAGGACACCTGACTGCCCCTTGGCTGCCTCTGTTGCCCTGGCATCTACTTAACAGCCTTCTAATGCTAATGAGACAACATGTACTGTCACTGCTAACACTGCATAGCCTGCTATTATTCCCAATGGAGTAGACCATCTGGGCCACCATACTGTCTAACAGGAGAACAGGAGAGAGGAAACAGAATGAAGGTTTTTTTATTTAATGTTAAAGTTTAAAGACCAATTTCACTTGTTCTTTTTAACACATTTGCAGTGGTCTCTAGTATAATTTCATGCCTTGAGAGTCTACCTCTGTGGAAAAAAGCTTTGGTTTTCCTGTTTCAGGAACTAGGAGTGACTTGGAGTCTTACTTCCTGATATCTGGACATCTCACCTCTGATTGGCTAATAGCAACGTGACTCTACCACTGACTGTTTGCTTTGCAATGTTGATAGTTTATCTCTACAAATAACACAAGTCTTGAGGAGTTCTGCTGTGGGGTGGAGTTGCTAATGCTAACAGTTAGCTTCCACTAGCCGAGACGTTCTCTTTCTCTCTCTCTCTCCTGGACGCTAAGCCAAAGAAACAGCCTTTCCTTTTGTGAGCTAAGATGGGTGAGTCCATGAATGCTAATTGACAGTGTGACGTAGATCTGTCAGGCTTTTCTAATCCAAGCATTTTCTCGTCTATTTACTATCTGCAGCTACTGCAGGAGACAGGGATAGAAGATTATCTTCATGTTTAGCCTGCATGTTAAACTCAGAGTGGTCGATCACGTTTCACAAATATCAATAAAAATTATTTCTCAGTGAACTTGGCCTTTAAAACAAGACTTTTACCACTCCATTTTTAATGTTGTTGCGCTTCTTCAGTTCACCACTAAATGATCCAGTAAAGTAAAATTTATGTCTTACAGTTTCTTGCCAGTTATTAGCTGTGAATATTTTTTGAACAAGTCAACCATATGGCATTTTCTTCTACACTGTTATTTCATAACTCTGTGATTGGAACCACGGTGAAAAAAGTCAGATAAATTAATCCCAGTCAAGTAATATTTGGTTATTTTCTTCCAATTGAACCTGCTAGTATATGAAATAAAAATTATTTATTCTGCAAAGTCCCTTTTATTATTCTTTATCAGTAAATTATACAATAAAATATAAATGAAACATGGAATTGCCATTTGCAGTTCTGAGATCATCCACCAGGGGGCAGACTGCATTCATAGGATTAGATCAATCAGGTTTTTGAGGAATGCACTAATCCTGTTAAGAGGTGGAGCTCTTAAAATGTTAATAATTTGCCATTAAAAATAATATGTTCAGCAATCTATTGACTGTCTGGTTATTTCTCAAGTTTCACATAATTTACACTGAGAGGTAATCAATGAGTGGGAACATTGTGGTACAGCCCCTGCAGTCCAGAGTACATTTAGAGACTGTCACACACGCTTTTGCTCTTTCAAGGCTCGACTACTGCAATGCACTGTATGCCGGCCTCAGTCAGGGTGCGGTACCACGCTTGCAGTTAGTACAAAACTCAGCCGCTAGGTTCATGACAGGCACTAGGCGCAGGGAACATATCACCCTTGTGTTGGCATCCCTTCATTGGCTGCCTGTGCAATACAGGGCAAAATTCAAGGTCTTGGTACTGGCATACAAGGCCTTACAAGGAACTGCTCCAGCATATCTTGGCAACCTTTTGCATAGGCATGCCCCCTCGCGGGTCCTTCGCTCAGCCGGCAGGGAGCTGTTGATCGTTCCACGCACTAAGTGCAGGTCACGGGGGGACCGTGCGTTCTCGGTGTTGGCACCTGCACTTTGGAACCAGTTGCCTTTGGTGGTACATCAGTCACCCTCATTGGGGTTTTTTTAAGACTCGCCTTAAGACCCTTTTTTTTGTCAAGGCATTCCAGGATTAGCACATTTTGCCTGGTTTCGATGCCCCGGCCTCTTAATCTTTTTAAGGATTTTATTTTTTTGCTTTTACTCTCCTGTTTTAATTGATTTTATGTTGGTTTTATGATTGTTATATTTAATTCTGATGGTTTTATGTTTTTATTATATTGTGTTCAGCACCTTGGGCCTCTGCATTGGTCACAGAAGGGGCTTTATAAATAAATGAAATGAAATGAGATGCAGATTGTGAATTTTACGCATGACCTTTAGAATGCAATAGGGATCAATATATAACAAAAATAACATATTTAGAAATACAGATATCATCATGAGTGATAAACACGTATAAGAACCTTTTACAAGGTGGTAACGGCTCTACAGCACTAGCTATAAAAGCTAAAACCTGGAACTTGTTCAAAATGACAAAAAGATTTCATTGTGTTCAGATACAAAACTTGCAAGGATGTTTTATAGAGTTACTTGGCTCCTCTGGAGTTCTACTGTTCAAAAGTCAAAGGCTTAGAGACCAAATGAAACACTTATTCTGTTCCTAACTCTGAAATATTTCTGAAGTACAGAAATTTTACATTTTCTAATCTAAAAATTTATTTTAAAGCAGATTTTATCCTTTCTTTGACTAGAACAGAAGAAAACAAAATAACCACAAATCCATCTAATTCATGTTTATAAAGTTCATCTTGCAAGTTTTCCAGACATTTTTAGAGAATTTCAGTCCAACATTATGTGACATTTTTGAGACAGAGTCGGCACAAAGCATCTTAATGTTTCCCACATTGACAGCATGTGGCAGTAAGCTTTGATTTTCTGTATCTGAAGCACGGTGGAACATCCGTCTGTCTGTGAACAAGCCCTCGGATCCAGGAGGCTAATGTTACTCACCCTTGCTTGGGCTTCGGACTAACGCCATGGCAACGCAGCAAACACAACACACAGAACCCCCCAATCATCAACCACCATTATAACAGAGCAGCTAAAAGCATTCAACAGCATAAACAACCCACCATTCAACCCATGTAAAAAAATAAACCTGAATATGGCAACAGATTTAGTTTGTAGAGGTGTGTGTGTGTGTGTGTGTGTGCGTGCGTGCGTGCGTGTTAGCTTTTTACCTCCCGATAGTGTGAGGCAGTGAGGTCAGCTGGTTGTCGTCTACCTTCAAGGTGGTCAGCTTCTTCAACATTCCTGCATCACATAAAAACGTACATGCAACACTTCACACAGAAGAAATGCAAACTCTGCTCTCAAATCCACCATTTTCATCTTTTTTATGACTAACTCCCAAACGTCAGCCACATAATTGCCTTTTCTGTGTTTCATAAGCACTAATAACACAGCACAGCTGCATCAAAGGATGATGAAAACAATTTGACATCGGAGAACTATAATAGAGATGACTGGATTCCCAGGTGTACGCTCACAGAGATTTGGAAGAAGATCAATACCACTCGTTCATGGTTTCTTATTCTTAGCTTAAAGGTGTGGACCACTCATTTAATCGATACATTTGCAGTGGTCTCTAGTAGTAATGAATGCCTTGGAAGTCGTTCTCGGGGGGGGGAAGCTCATATGTGCCTGAATCAGGAGGTGCAAGTCAGCTGAAGAAGAGAGTAGCTTCAGGCGGCAGGTTTTAGACTCTCTCTGGACTCCTCTGATTGGCTAACAGCAACGCGACTCTCATACTGGCTCCACTAGCTTTGCAACATTGATGTTTTATCTCAATTCAATTCAGTTCACTTTATTTATATAGCACCAAATCACAAGACTCATCTCAAAGGAACTTCATATAGTAAACATTCCAGTTCAGTTCAGTTAAATAAGCCAATCAGTTAAAAGTGTCCTATATAAGAAACCCAGCAGGTTGCATCGAGTCACTGACTAGTGTCAATGACATTACAGCAATCCTCATACCAAGCAAGCATGTGGTGACAGTGGAGAGGAAAACTCCCTTTTAACAGGAAGAAACCTCCAGAGGATCCTGGCTCAGTATAAGCAGCCATCAAGAAGACAGAGCACACACACACACACACACACACACACACACACCAAGTAGTGTTTCCATGGCTACATTAAATATTAGATATTCTAAGAGGTAAACTTTATTGTCTTCATTTTAGTGAATCTAATTATTGCAACAGGTGAACTAGTAGTAGCACATTCCATGTCAAAGAAAGTAAAATGTTGTCAGGAGACAAAGAATGTCTAGTGGTTGGCAGCAGTGCGCCAGTCGATGATCTCAACAAATAACTCGAGCCTGAAGGAGTTCTGCTGTGAGGTAGAGTTGCTAATGCTAACAGTTAGCTTCTACTAGACAAGATGTTAAACCAACAACAGTCCAAGAATGTTAAGTGACAGTGTGACGTAGATCTGTCAGGCTTTTCTAATCCAAGAGTTCAACTGTCTATTTTCTTTCAGAAGCTAATGCAGCAGATAGGTGTAGGAGACTATTTTCATGTTCAGCCTGCACGTTAAACTCAGAGTGACCGATTATAACCAGAAATAAATATTAAAAAATGTTTTTTCAGTGTTCCACACCTGTAAAGAAAGACAACAAGTCTACCAAGAATCCTCTCCAAGGATCATCATTTAACATCATTAGATGCATTTCTCTTTCATTTTGGGACAGAATGAGGCTAAGCGTCCCCTGTTTCCAGTATTAAAGCAAAGAAAGCTGCTACCTTCCCAGTGGGATAATGCACTGTCCAAAGTGGGAACTGTTTTTAAACCATGAGTACATCTCCTAAACAGGATCCTGCACTGTGGCCTTGTTAGAAGCAACAGTAATATCTTGACCTAGTAAACAACAATCATGTGTCTGTGTGCTCTTATGATGGTTATGTGAGTACCTATTGAGTCCGGAAGGTGCTGCAGCATGTTGGAAGATAACAGCATGTCTTCTAAGGCCTCGCAGCCCGAAACATCACTATCCAATGACTCAATCCGGTTTTTGGCTAAGTCCAAGTACCGCAACTGACGGAGCTTCCCTATTGACTGTGATTGAGGGGGAAAAGGATGGTATAAAGACAGTATAAAGATCAGAAAAGTACAAGTTTCCATGAGTGTGCTAATGATGATGTGTCATCAAAATGATCTTTGCTTCTCTTGTGTGAGCTGCTCTTACCCCAGGTATGGACTGTAGAGAGTTGTTGTCCAGCCACAGCTCCTTTAGGCTGTGCATCTGTTCCAACACCTCTGGCTGACAGGAAACAAAGAAGAATCCACCCATTCAAAAGCAACATATGTAAACAACGGAACCTCGGTTAATACATGTAAAATGTTTGTAGTGTGGTTGTTTGGGATTGTGTAACGGGCCTGTATTTGATCTAGCACCTTCTAGGGTCCTATGTCCCCCCAAGGCCCTTTACAAAACAACCGGTCCTTCACCCACACATCCAACACTCTAGTGGTGATGAGCTACAACATAGCCACAGCTGCCCTGGGGAACACTGGCAGGCAGGCGCCACCGGTCCCTACGACCACCACCAGCAGACAAGGTGGGTTAGGTGTCTTGCCCAAGGGCACAACAGCAACCCTGCAACCGTCTGGTTACGGGGCAGGCACTTCATCACCCCAGTAAATAAAGATAAATAAATTGTTTTTGAAGGCTGCCAGTCAGGTTTTGTGGCTCGGTGAAGTACCACACATCCAGCTGAGTCGTTTAAATGATTGCATGTGTGGACGTAAAATAAGTTGTTTTGATTGTAACAAAAGAAGAAAACCAAAGACCACTTTTTTTAGGTGTTTTTTAATCCATTCTCATGATATCACACTGTAAACAACTGAACCCAATTCACAAACAAAAACCATCGTTAGCTCAAAAAGTGCTAATTGATCTCACCATTTCAGAAAAGTCGTTGCTTCCCAAATCCAACCTCTCAAGCTGTGACAGTCTGTGGATGGATCTGAGAGGAAACATTTCACACTTAGAATACAACTGAAAATCGGGAAGTTCGATACCGGCCTTTTGAGCGACAAACCGATTTAGACTAACTCTTAATTTACAATATCAAAATAAATCGATAAACGGAACCCTCCTCCCAATAAATACAATAAATAAATCAAATCATTTTCTGTAACTAACATCACATTTCTCATATAAACAGTATCAGTGTAAAATATGACAACTGCTTCAGTTTAAATTAAGCCAGACTGTGCTAAACTAAATCTCAGATTAGTCATATTCTGACTTTTTGAGTGAGAGAAGTAGCTAGAGAGTTTGTGAATGGTATGTAAACGTATCATTAAAAGAGTGAAAATTGATTTAGAATCCTATTGAGTTAGGGTCTGATAAAACCAAACTAAAACCTTTTCTAAAATTCAAGATATATAAAAAAAGATTTTTTCATTTAATTTAAATTTAAGCAGAGGAGGACAATTTGTAATGGATGATTCTGTCAATAAATCAAACCAATCATAAAATGCCCTAATTACATTCACTGCATAATGATAATAATGAAAAATAGAATTATGTGCAATAGTCTAAAAAATTTAAATTAATTTTACTCTAGCTTTTGAGATTACCACCTCTAACTAGGACCAACTGTCTGTGACCAGTTGTTAAGCACAGAAATGCAAAATGAGCAAATAGTTTGCTGGGATCCCGCAGATTTGGTACCTAGGAAGGTTTTGTGCATGTTGTCACATTACACAACGCATTACATTCTAATTGCCAGAAAATGGAGACGAGTATTCTTCAAAGTGTCTTAAATATGTCTCATGTTGTTTGCAATTTAATCACCAACTCCACCCAAAGTTTTCTGGCATCTTTTGAACATTTCATGTCCACGGTGACACACAAGAGAACCAGGTCCTGTCACTCGCACAATGAAAGATACTGGCTTTAGATTGTTGCAAACATATGGATGCATTCCACAGTTAACATATTGAAAAATGACTCAACAAGGTGACAGCCTTCACACACACACACACACACACACACACACACACACACACACACACACACACACGCACACACACACACACACACACACACACACACGCCTTACTTTGGCATTGTTTTAAGGTGGTTTTCTCTCAGCTCCAGAATCCGTAGTTTGGAGAGTCTGAATAACAGAAGGCACATTAGCCTGAAGTTAATTCCCTTTAATTTTACTCAGTCAGCTGCAACAAGCATGAATAAGAATGAAAAAATAAAACTAAATACTATAAAGTAAAGAAAAAATGCAAATAGCCCATCATTTTGATATATGATCACCGACATGCCCAAGCTTTGATCAGGACATCTTTGTCATTAAACACATGTATGTGTCATGTTGGGATGTAGAAGATATCAACACACTAAAATATTGCAATGTTTCATGTTATGATAATGAATTGATATTAAAAAGCAGCGAGTATGTTTTTGATTGTGAATTAACAAGCAAACATTTACTGAATTTGTTTTGTGCGGTGCAATTCAAACTCCCACTGCTAGGTGGCAGCACTGGATGTGTCTTGAAAGTGTCTGCCCTGAGTTTTCCAAATAAATTCAGCCTTAAAAATTGCAAATATCATGTCGTCTCCTCTAGGTGAAAATGCTGGATGTGAAGGTTCTGGGCTGGTGTGTTGCACGTGGTCTGCGGTTGTGATGCTGGTTGGATGTACAGCCAAATTCTCTGAAATGCCTTTGGAGATGACTAATGGTAGAGAAATGAACATACATTTCACGGGCAGCTCTGGTAGACATTCCTGCGGTCAGCATGCCAGTTGCACGCTCCCTCACAGGTTGTGACATTTTTGGCACTGTGCCGTTTGATCAAACTGCACATCCAGGGTGGCCTTTTATTGTGGGCAGTCTAAGGCACACCTGTACATTATTCATGCTGTCTAATCAGCCCCTTGATATGCCACACCTGTGCGGTGGGATGGATTATCTCGACAAAGAAAAAAATGCTCACTAACACACGTAGACAAATTTCAGAACAATATGTCCACTCTAATTTCCCTTTGGGATTAATAAAGTATTGATTGATTGATTGATTGATTGATTGATTGATTGATTGATTGAGTCATGAGTGTTTTGTGCATGAAGAAAAATGTTCATATATTTGAGTTCAGCTCGTGAAAAATGGGAGCAAAAACAAAAGTGCTGTGTTTATATGTTTGTTCAGTGTACATACTGGCCAACAAAAGAGTTGGCATTAGAAAAAAAAGGTCACACTCTAATATTGTCTTGGACTGCCTTTAGCTTTGACTACGACACACATTCACTGTGGTGTTGTTTCAATAAGCTTCTGCAACGTCACCAGATTCATTTCCATCCACAGTTACATTAATGTTTCACCAAGATCTTGCACTGATGATGGTAGAGTCTGACCGCTGCACAAAGATTCTCAATGGGGTTAAGGTCTGGACTCTGTGGTGGCCAATCCATGTGTGAAAATGATGTTTCGTGCTCCCTGAATCCGTCTTGCACTATCTGAGCCCGATGAATCCTGGCATTGTCATTGGAATATGCCCGTGCCATCAGGGAAGATGGAATAACCTAGTCATTCAGTATATTCAGGTAGTCAGCTGACCTCATTCTTGGTCACATCCTGACCAACTGCAGCAAGCCCAGATCATAGTACTTCCCCCACAGGATTGTACAGTAGGCACTAGGCATGATGGGTGCATCACTTCATCTGCCTCTCTTCTTACCCTGAAGCACCATCACTCTGGAACAGGGTCCATCTGGACTCATCAGACCAGGTTTTAATAACATGTTGGACAGTTCTTAACCCAGTTTTAGTTATTTCTTTAATCTCCTTAGATGTTTTCTCTGCTTGATGCCAAAGATCTGACCCTTCTCACACAGACTAACATCTTTTCCATGACCACCAGATGTGTCTTTCCACATGTTTGTTTAAGAAATGAGAAGCAGCTCATTGCACCACTTGGTTAAATAACTTACTGCCAGCTGAAATTACTGCCCATGCAGTAATTATCCAATAAGAGGCTCATAACTGTTTGCGCAACACAGTCTCACAACCAAAGCGTCAAAATATGACACGTGTGACCAAGCCTCAATATATGACGATTCAGGATGCCGCCCCAGTGTGTCAGGAGAGGGCGCATTGAGGACGCACTGTCCCAGAGCGTCGGCGTCCGATGCCCGCGGTGAGACGCACATTAGACCGACTTGCAATCTACTTAACCTTCCCCTTACCCCCATTCTAACCTTAAGGGGCTTGACACACGGGAGGCGACAAACGACCGCAATCAGCTAAATTCGTCGCTTTTATTACCTGACTCACGGGAGGCGACCCGCGGCAGCGGCAAAGCCGTGGCATTCTGTTCCATGGCAAAATCGAAACTTCCGTTGTTTTGTTTGGCTGTGTCAGGTTGGAGGGAATTAAGGTTATTTAAGCGGTTCAGAGTTTAAAAAGCGGTAGATATGATGTTTCACAAGGTGCTGCTAGAGTTATGTGAACTCTTACTTCTTACTTTTACCATATAAAACATACTAATAATCAACTTCTCCTCCATGTTTGCTCGGAGATGTACGGAGCATCCTGCCCGCTCATTGGTCAGTAAATGAAACCTCCGTTGATTGGTCCTCGTCCAAGCGACAGCGATGAAAAGTTGAAAATATTTAAACTTTCTGGGATTGCGTCGCTGGGTCGCCTGTGCGTGACACGCGCACGAGCGCAAAATTTCACACGCACGTTTTTCGCGTTTCGCTTAGTAGGAGGGAGACCCGCGATTATCTCTTTGTCGTGCATGTCTCATTGAAAATGAATGGAGGAGAGGCGAAGTCGCCTCCCGTGTGTCGAGCCCATAACTCAGCTGAGTTACTGAGTTAAGGTTAGGATTGGGGTGAGGGGAAGGTTAAATCATGGAATAATCTCCGTGTAACCGCGGGTGTCAAATACGTGTCCCTGCGTGCCCCAGATCGTCCTCTCCTGACGCACTGGGGCATCCCGAATCGTCATATGTTGAGACTTGGTCACACGCGTCATATTTTGACACTTTGGTTGTGAGAACATTTTGGTTTGCTTAGCTAAATCCAGGTGGTGACTTTTTCCCAGTGGGTAGTTTACATAAGCTGTATACATCGTGTTACCAGATTCTTGCCTATACATACCCAAAGTGTCTTGTGTTTTCAAATCTAAAACATTTATTAGTATTACATTGGGCTGCATGGTGGCGCAGTGGTTAGCACTGTTGCCTCGCAGCACGAAGGTCGCAGGTTCAAAACTCGGCTGCGGCCTTTCTGCGTGGAGTTGCGTGTTCTCCCCGTGCATGCGTGGGTTTCCTCCGGGTACTCCGGTTTCCCCCACAGATCACAACATGCCCCATAGGTTATAAATTGTAAGACACTTTGGATAAAAGCGTCTGCTAAATAAATAAACATAAACATAAACATTTTAAAATTAGGTTAAAAAAACACTTAAAAACAGCATTCAGCTTTAAGCTGTAACGCCATCTACACGTGATCATTTGTATCAGACATGTAATAAATATTCGATCACAGCAACAGAGGAACTCGTGCAGCATTTCACCTGCCAAAGTTAGCGGGCAGATACTCCAGGAAGGCATCGTTTAAGAAAAGCTGGGTCAGATTCAGGAGCTGCGTGAAACCATCTGGGAGTCTTAAAGAGAGAGATTTAGAGAGAAACAGGAATGAAACAGGCAGGAAAATATATACACCTAAGAAAGCTGTCAAAGACAAAACGGTTGAGCTGCTTCTGCGAAATAAATCAGGGAAGATTGTCCCCATAAGAAGCCCAGCCGAAGCAGCAAACCGCTGCCGGGCAACGGATGACTCATCCGCTGCACAAAAACAACACAAGAAGCAGCTGTTTTGCTTCATTACTATCAGAGGCAGGAGAACAGCAATTACAAAAGCACCTGATGCTCAAACAATACAACTGGATCTGTTAGAAACATGCAGGTGTTCTAATGAATGGTTAGTGAGGCGACGGGACTTCAGAATGTGGAGTTATGTGGGTTTTTTTTTGTCTAAATGAAGGAAACTGCCAGTGTTCAGCCTCTGTCTGCTTGTTGCTATGTGAGCATGCACGTATAGAGATGAAAAAAGGAAGAACTGGGTTTAAACAGAGAGAAAGTCAGCCTGCATGTTTAAAACATCCTAAATAGCTCCAAACGTTTCACGAAACTTCATACATGCATTCTCTACTTCAAAGAAACGTTACCCCTAAACAACAATGCACAGAAGGAGTTCACACCGGGCTTTTTTAGCAACCTTTTCCCAAAGCTGTTGTTTTTTAACAAATAAAATGTTCTCTTTCCACAGCAAAGCAGCAACAATGAGATGTTGTGTTAGTCTCTTACTTGGTGATGGGGTTGACACTGGCTTCAACCACAGACAGACCTTTACAGCATTTGATATTGTCTGGAAACTCCTGGATTCCTGTTTGAGACAAATCAGCCAAGGGGCAATGTGGGTGAGCAAGCAGGAAGCTGGGTTTAGCTGTTTACATAGAATCATCATGTGCGTTCGTCTGACGCCATTTTCAAGAGCTTATTCGATGTCTTTCTTTAGCGTTTAAACCTTATTTTACAAACAAAAGTTATATTTTCTTAGAAAAGTCAGCGATTGCAGTCGTGTTTTCACCATTTTTACTGATGTCCAACTCTTTGAGGTTAACCAGGCTGGCGATGGTGGTAGGAAGGTTGGACAGGTCGTTATCAGGTAAACTTAGCTTCTTTAGGGCCTGGCAGTTGAAGAGTTGCTATAGAAAATAAAGACAAAAACAACAAAGAAATGTTATAATCTAGTGGAAAAGAAAACACATCACACAGATCTTGAATAGAAAGCTATAAAGGGAACAAGCATATGCTGAAGGCACAGAGACGCTGGTCCATTTAGCTGTGATTTTCTATGAATAATGCAGATTTAATTTTGCCCATACAGAAGCCCTGAAGGACAAAACACATAAAGTGAATGCAAAAGACAGTGTCCTGAATAAAGAAACACTGCAAACTCTGAACGTGTGAGCAGCACGTTCATAAATAAGTGCTAAAAGCACCTAAATATGGAAATGCATAAATGTATGATTATAAAACCAAAGACAGACCGTCCCACTTCTGAAAGGCACCAAAACATGGCTGCTCAAGAAAACATGTGCACTGTTTAAATGGACTATATGGAAGTTTGACAGCCAAAACATGTATAGAAATAATAAATTTCTTTTTCATACATTCTCCTGCAATGCCCTGGTCCTGTAGAATGAGCCCTGGCATTTTTACTGTGATTGCCTGTTTTTATGTAAAATCACAGAAAAAGAGAGATGCTCGGGTCGAGCAGGCTGCTTCATGCGCGTTCACGCTCAGGCATAGCCCGTAGCATTTGCTATCCGTAGCTTTAGCAGCAGAGAGTGAGGCAGTGCCAACTCAGCGACTTTGTCGCTGTTCCTAACGCCTAGTGATGAACCTAGCTACATTTCTGAGGATCCTTAGCTACTTTCTGTAGAACTTTCTTCTAGATATTTCTGTTATTAGACCTGACAGCAGCCTTCGACACAGTTGACCACGCGATTCTACTCGATCGCTTGGAACGATGGGTTGGGATCAAAGGGTCAGCTCTGGATTGGTTTAGATCGTATCTCCACAACAGGACATTCTGTGTTAAACTGGGTGATGTTTTTTCTTCTTGGGAGGGGCTCTGCTGGGGGGGTCCCGCAGGGGTCGATCCTTGGTCCACTTTTGTTTGCCATTTATCTGCTACCTCTGGGGTCAATCTTTCGTAAACATGGCCTATCATTCCATCTGTATGCTGACGATTGCCAGATTTACTCTCCATTGTGTCAGGAGAAAGGTCACTCTATCCAGTCCTTTGTCTCCTGTGTTAATGAGGTGAAGTCTTGGCTAATGTCCAACTATCTACATCTGAATGAGGGAAAGACAGAGCTCATTGTTTTTCACCCCAACAGCAGGAATGTGGATTGTTATGTTGATCTTGGCCCTCTTTCTCCATACTCAAAACCAGTTGTTACCAGTTTGGGGGTGAAACTTGATGCTGGACTTAAATTTGATGCTCACATCAATTCTGTGATCCGGTCCAGTTTCTTTCACCTGAGACGCCTTGCTAAAATCAAGCATATGCTGTCAAGAGTCCACCTGGAGCGGGTACTGCATGCCTTTGTAATTTCTCGGCTTGACTACTGCAACTCTCTCTACGCAGGGTTGTGTCAGTCATCACTGCGTCGCCTACAGGTTGTGCAGAACAGCGCTGCCAGGTTCCTGACTGGGACCAGGAAACGGGACCACATCAGTCCAGTTCTGGCCTCCCTGCACTGGCTTCCGATTTGCTATCGCTCACAATTCAAAATACTCGTCTTTGTTTATCATTTCTTCCAGGGTAGTGCTCCCCCCTATCTAGCCACACTCCTGAAAAGACACTCCCCATCACGCGCTCTGCGCTCCTCTGACCAAGGCCTGCTCGCTGTCCCTCGGTCTAGGTGTCGTACCCGTGGGGACCGGGCTTTCTCAGTCCTAGCACCGTTACTCTGGAACCAGTTGCCACCCTCAGTTAGGCTTTCCCCTTCTCTGCCAGTCTTTAAGAATCACCTAAAAACACACCTCCTCCGCTTGGCGTTTCCAGAACATGTTTGATTTTGGCCCTCTTTTATGTTGAATCCATTCCACAGTTTTCATTGGTACACTCAATCCATCCACTCAATCCAAATGTGTTTCACTCATTTGTCCTTTACCAGAATGTTTCATCTATCTTATAATTTCCATTTTGTATTTTGTAATTTGAATTTCTTTTTTTGTTGATTTTTTCACTATATTTGCTTGCAACTGTACCATGTTCAGCGCTTTGGGCTTCCTGACAGGGTTGCGGAAGGCGCTTTATAAATAAAGCTTTGATTGATTGATTGATTGATTGATTTCCTGCAAATTAGCAACAAAATAGCCATTTTCGCTCCGAACCCTTCGTTGGATTGACGTTGTTTCAGCTGTCATCAAGGATATAAAAGTTACAGATACAATGAATGTCACTGGCGCTTTAGCTCACCTAGTAAGATGTCTGACTCTCATGTAGGGGACCTGGTTTTGATTCCGGGTGTGAATAAAGTTTGTTATTTGGAGTTTCTTTTTTACCTTAATGGTATATTTTTTTACAATAATAAGACGCCCAAATTTTTATTTGAGACTCGCCGAACGGCATTGAATTCACAGATAAAAAGATGTGGGTTCAACTTTCATTTTGGAACCTTTTTTCAAGCAAGGGAAGGGAATGATCTGAGCATGCAGGAGGACTGACCCATCTTAAACCTTTGTCGGCTGTGCTGAAGAGAAAGGTACAGAACCAAATTATTTAATTAATTAGCTGAGCGTTCTCCTGTCCTCTGTCCTCCGGGCCACACACACACACACACACACACACACACACACACACACACACACACACTGCACGTTCGGCCGGCCGACGAGAAAGCGCAGCTGCAGAGACAGAGGGACATTATTTTTATTAATTTGCTGTGTCCTTCTGTCCTCCGGGCCACACACACACACACACACACACACACACACACACACACACACACACACACACACACACACACACACACACACACACACACGGGACTGTCTCAGCTGTTATTTTCGTTAAGGAGTGTGCACGTACAGCATGCACGCCTCGTGCACGAGCCTACTATTGAAGCTGCCATTACGCTTTTGGCCTGAGGGGGCAATCGTGAGCATAAAAATTCAAAACTCAGAAAAGTCCCTTTAATGCAATGCAGATAATCGTGTCTCATTAACAATAGTTTATTTTTGCTTTTTTTTTGTTCTTTAAAAAGAAAAAAAAATCACGCTGTGGTTGTATTCCTGGTAATATTTTTTATTCATCCAGTAAATCATCAGTTTTCCATGATTTCTCATCTCATTTCAGTTAAATTTGACTTTTTAGTCATTTGAGGGCAAATAAAATCACTTGAAGAAAAAACATCTAACACTTTTATTTAATGTACATGAGTGCGGTTAAGTGAAACCTTTTATTTAGAAGTTTAAATCACTAGCAGTGTGTAACAAGTCTTGGGATAAAACTGGATGCCGACCTCTCAGAGGTGTCTCAGATAAACTGTTGTGAGGTCCTGTTTTTATCAGTGATATCGTTTGGCTCTTCCTAGACCTAATGTGAAGTGGAGGCATTTTGGAATCATGTATTCACTCCTTCATTATCTCCTGCTCTCACTATGTGAACACATTCTTCGCTTATATTCCTAGCTCAGTATTACAACAGCTGCAGGTTGTCTAGGACGCAGCTGCTAGGTTCGTGATGAACACGAATCAACGCAGCCACATCACCCCTGTCCTTGCACGCCTTCATTGGCTCCCTGTCTTATTCTGTGTACAGTTTAAGTTGCTGACATTTGTTTTCAAAGTATTGCACAACCAAACACCAACATTTCTGTCTGACCTGCATACGCCTTATGTTCCCACACGCTCGTTGAGGTCAGCAGATCGCCTCCTGCTTTGCACCCCACGGACGTGCTATAAATCGTGGAGCGACGTCGCCACATAATCTCCTCTCCCCTAACATAGCTGCTACTTACCACATGACCAGATATGTGGTGGTTCATTCCTCCTGTGGGAAGTTTGCTGAACTTACAGCCCTTTTCCCTCAGTTTCTTCCGTGTCTGGTTCGATGATGTCACTTTCATGAAGCACATTTGTAGTCCTGAACTTATTTTTACACAAAACCTAAAATAGAGTTTCCCCCATTTGAAAATAAGCACGTTCTTGGTAACAAAATGTGTCTTTAAAATTCACGGACATCAAATGTGAAATCCATGGCACAAAACAAGTGGAATTAGAAAATTGCATTTTTAGCCCCGTTGACTTGCGTTTATTTTATTTTTTTCGTTCTTCCGGGAACCCGTGATGTGGAAGTAGAGGGGCGTGACTCCCTATAGGAGGGGTGAGAGTTCCATGACCCTGTTTGTGTTCATAAGCTAGCTTGATTTGCAGATTAGCTATTGCAGATTTAACTGCTTCATTTATTTGTCGTGATGTCAGCCGCATGAACAGGCCACTTCACCAACAATAACACACATGCACACACACACACACACACACACACACACACACACACACACACACACACACACACACACACACACACACACACACACACACACACACACTTGAATAGGCCCATCAGTCCTATGCAACACATGTCAGCAGAGCATGCTTTATTTTTAGTTTTTAAGAAGAATGCCTTTCACGTTGGTCTCCATCCAGGCTAATTTTAGAACATCTAATTCACCATCTTTGTCGTTTAAACCAGGACAGAATACCATTATGTGACAGCTTCTTATGAACAGCACCTGTAATTCTCCTTGAAATATTAGAAGGGCACTTTGTCTCAGCGCTGCCAGCAAGGGGATTTTCTGAACATCTCAGACATATTAGTAACCCACAGTGGGATCGATTCATACGGCATAAAAGCAAAAAACATGGACGTATATAAAACTCTAACTTATACACTATGGGAATATTTTAAACCTTGGACCAAATACAAATGCAATTGTACCATCAATCAAAACACATAATATTAAAGGAGAAATGTGATGTTTTTTATAATTGTTCTTCGGACAATACAAAATGTGTTTATCAAGCTTTTACTAAATCTCTCTCACAAGCAGCTTCATTCTTGACCGTTTCAGCGCCTCCCAGAAGGAGCCGTTTCAGGGCTCTGTCACTAATAAAACAAGCTGGAGCTGGCCACACCCAGCCGTCCTCTGCTAAGGCTGCTATTGGCTGAGAGGCTGCAATGTCAGGGAGGGGCTTGGAGTAGAGCTGACGCTTCTCCAGCAGATGCTCTCATACCCGCGAGGAAAGTGTACCATTGAGCAGGGTTGATGGTTTAACCCTTGGGTCCATGTGGCAGGGGTGAGGAGGGAGCACCACCTGACCCCTGCCACGTGGACCTCAAGGGATAAACCATCAATCCTGCTCAATGGTCAACTTTCCTCGTGGGGTCACCCATAAAGACAATGGGAGGGTTAAAAACAAAATTAGGCAGATGCGTAAATGTGGGCGCTGTTGTCATTTTATTGATTCGAAAACCTTTAGAACTAATTATTGGAACTCAAAATTAGTTTGGTAAGCTCAGTGACCCTTGACCTCCATACACAGGTGAATCCAATTATGAGAAATTTTAGGTATTCATAATAATGATATAACATTTACTTTACTGGCTGCCATCTGTGATGAGAATTTTAAGCAATATGACAAAACATAATTCCAGAAAAACATCTCAGACTGCCTTTAAGTGTTTTGGAGGAGCTGGAAGGAGGAAACGTGCATCTGAGCTACCTTGGGTAGTTCCTCAATCTGGTTGGCATCCAGGTACAGCTCCTCCAGAGTTCTCTCAAAGCTGAAGATTTCCTTGGGGACCTGTTGAAGGCTGCAGTGAGAGTAGTCCAACACGGAGATCACTTCCTCCTCACCACGGAAACAACGGCACGGCACCAGCCGGCCAATCAGCTTCCGTTTAGTGGTCATCTCCAGACACTGCACTGCAAAAATAACCAGAGAGGAAAGGGAAAATCAGATTAGAGATCAATTATTGAGGTTCTGCCGCTCCAAATGTTGTCTGTAATCTGAGTCTTTGTGGAAACAACCACATGCACTTGACCAGTAAACAGATTTTTAAAAGCTCTAATAAAACAAGCATCGGCAGGTTTATGCAGCAGTTTCTAACTGAGCAGCTTCATTCAAATTCATGAGCAGCATTTCTGTTTCTAAATGATTCAACAACAACATTATTTACAAACACAATGTGAGCAGAAGTCGTTATTTCTGACAGATTTTGGTGCTTTTGATGAGTGATGAAATAAACACACAAAAGCAAAATCTTTTAACACAAACCAGAGAAAGACTTGAAGTTTACTCATTTTTTATACACTTGCAGTGATCTCTAGTAGGAACGAATGCCTTGTAAGAGGTATTCTGGGGGACTAAACTCTCCAGTGCACGTGTTTGAAGACAGCAATTCAGAAAGGAAGTCACCTGGAGGAGAAAGCGGCAGCAGATGGCAGGATTTGGAATCATATTTCCTGATATTTTGACATCTCGCCTGTGATTGGCTAAACACAACTCTACCACTGACTCTGAAGCATTAAAGTTTTATCCCCACAAGTAACACAAACTGGAGGAGTTCTGCTTTGTGGTGGAGTTGCTAATGCTAATGGTTAGCTTCTACCAGCCAAGACGTGCTCTGCTCTCTCCTGGAGGTTAAGGCAACAACAGCCTTCCCTATCATGAGCCAAGATGGGTGAGTTCATGAATGTTAAGTGCCAGTGTGACAGACCGGAACTATTTTCCTATCAGAAGACAATGTAGGGAATCAATTTAGAGGACTACTTTAATGATCAGCCTGCACATGAAACACAGAGGGAACAAGACTGCACTCCAGTGGCGTGCTTCACTTGTTTAACACATACATCTGAATTACAATTTTGAATGTGTTCATGTGCATAATCTGCAATGGCGGTACTGCTTTCTATCCTGGATCAGGATATGTTTTTATTAGTCTAGGATCAACATTGCATCCAGTCACTATTCCTCTTAGTGATGTAAATTATACATTCTATTTACTGGTATAATTCTGAATAAGTTAATGCAGCTGAATACACTTTTAATGACAGTTATTGAGAAAATTTCTTCTCTGACAAAGGCAGAAGGTAAAGAAACCTATTCACTGTGTTAAGTAAGAAAAAGAAAATAAGTATGCATCAACACACAGAACGAATACATAGAAGGTATTTAACTACTGTATCCTGTGAATTTTATAATATAATATATTAGGGGCGGGAAAATTAGTGAGTTAATTATTAGCGTTAATTTAGTTATTTTAACGTGTTAAAAGTAAATGACGCAATTAATTTGACCATCTCTCCAACCTGGTGTTACACCAAATTCTGCGACTCATCACAATTTGTGACCCCAGGGGGCAGTGTTGCGTTTTGTTGCGTCTGTACATCCTGAATTGGCATAAAAGAAGAAGATGCTACGTTAAAACCGTAAACCATGTAAGCTTTGAGGAAGTTGTGCGGCGCGGACCATGGTCACACAATATGATAGTGACTATCACAGAGTGTGACCATCTACATCTCAGTAATAATGCAGATGTCTTTAATTTTCACTAAAGATAATAACAACAAAAGGTGTTTCATGATGTTTGTGTCAGTTTATTTCCCTTTTATCTCCACCAGTACATATGAGTGGCATTGGCGTGACAGGAAAAAAAACGTAGCAACCAGATAATCTGCAGTGGTTTCTAATAAACTTTATCCCATTACATGTTTTACTGTTATAAAATAAATATTGTTTATAAGCTCATAACATTCATATATTCCATACAATTCAGATCACCTTCAAAACTCCGTCCCACCCAGGGACGTATCGAAGCATTTGGGGGCCATGCCAGTGAGGTGTCCCTTATTTATTTTTTGGGGCATTGGCAATCCTAGTTCAACTGATGCTGTGGAAAATGACATTTACATTGAATAATATAAGCTAACTGTGCTAGATTTATTTCCTGTTCATTGTTTACACAATAGACTTTTCCAAACAATGTTTTGGAACAGAAACTGGATTTGATTTTAGATTTTTCTCCGTTAAAGACAGTATTCAGTGATTTTACACACTTCAACAAGTTATGCACTTTCTAAATTAAATTAACCTCTCTCGCATGTTTATTGCTTGCTTTTTCTGGAAAAAAATTATAATTAATTTCGATTAATTATTTCAGATTTGCGATTAATTAGTAAATTTATTTTAATCGATTCCAGGCCTTATAATATATATAATAAATACAATAGATAATATAATCCACCTTCCTTTACTTTTGTGTTGCAGATTGGTTGCAGTTAGACATCCCTAAAACACGATCGGATGGTTGAAATGACGGTTTCAGACAATAAAATGTTGGTGTACCAGAACAGAATCAAACATGGAAGCCACACTTGCTTTATTTAAAATCAGCGAAGCACATTATCAAGAACACATATCTCTGCTGACCTGAGCTGTTAAAGCTATATTTTTAAGATAAATATAACAGTTTCTTGCAGTTTTTTAAACATTAAGCTCAAACAGAACATCTTTGAGAATGTATTATAAACTAGAGACTGTTTAAAGTACATGAAATGATGCCTTTGATGTTTTGTGAGCAAACACAAAGCTTATTTTAGAATCCTTTGGAGTCCAAATAAAGACCGCTGTAGACGTTTGCTGTTTGAGAACAAATTAAATGATGTGTAGAATTAGAAATCCTGTAATAATTAAACTTACTTAACTAAAGCTGCACAAAAACCCAAACAGCTATCACCATGAAAACTTTCTGAGCCACAAGGTCAGAATACTGGAGAAAATATTCAAATGGAGAAAAGGATGGATTTTGTCTTCAGTGAATATTAATGGTGAGTGAAATGGATTTTTACCCCAGGTATGATGTTTATATTTAAGGAGCCCAGCAGGAGTTGAGGTTATAAGAATCTGTCCCCTTATTCAAATGTTGCACACAGATTTGCAATGATGAACTAATAGACACACTTTATGATCACTTGGATCATAATTTGTGCAAACTGTGCAGCTGCTGCTGGGAGACACAACCCTAAATGAACCGACAAGTTTGTTATTTTCTTTTACATAAGTGCTGCCACATAATTAAAAAGACAAAATTGATTTCCTCTCTTAATTTAGTGACCACAGCAACAGCAAGAGTGTATTTAATGAAAGGTTTTATAGTACTTTACACCAAGAGGCTCTCAGCAGCAGCTGCACGCTGAAGACTGTGTGTTTGTACACAATTTATGTTTAAAATGATCAGGTGGGAAGTTGGTCTCTCTACGTTTGAGAGAGTTTTAACAACACTGGTTTGGACATTCTGATACCGGAAATGTCCAAAGCTGTGCACTCAGTTTATTAAAAGTCTGATTCGCTCGTCTTTTCAACTAATTAGTGGAAAATAACATAATTACAAGTCGTATGCATTAAAGGGATACTTTGCTCCTTTTTCATAGTTTTAAATCATTTTCCTGAGACAGCATGTGCTAAAACGATCTTTTACAGGGTTGATGAAAGGCCGCCCAACCCCTATCACCCCTCATGGCCAGAATATTATTCTGATTCATAAAAAGTGACGGCATATTAATAGTATAAGCAGCCATCCGTCTCAGTCCCCAGTGAGTCATGGTGGATGGCTGCTTATACTGAGCCAGGATCCTCTGGAGGTTTCTTCCTGTTAAAAGGGAGTTTTTCCTCTCCACTGTCGCTAAATGCTTACTTAGTATGAGGATTGCTGTAAAGACTCTGACACTAACTAGTGATTGGGTGTTTCTCAATGCCAAGGAACCTTGCCTTGATGTGTTGGCACCGCCCCGGTTGCCTACGAGATACGTCATCAGGAGCCGCTAAGACAGGGGTCCTCAATTACATTGGTCCGAGGGTCACTCACAAAAAAGACCCAGAAGCAAGAGGGCCACACGGGGAGGTGGGTGGTGGTGGGGGCAGGGGAATTAAGTTGAATTTAACATCGGTTTATCATCATGAAACAAAAGAATAAAGTGGAACAAGAACTTCTATTTTCTATTTCTCTCTACTTTTAACTTCACCGTATCCCTAAATAAAAGAGACAGATGATCACGCTGCAGCTGCCGTCACTCACCCTGCCCCCTCCCCAAGAGCAGACCTCCCGATATCACAGCACTCGGTCTGACTGAGCGCTTCCAGGAGAAATAATAATGAAATTATGAAAATAATAATGCATGTTTGGAGGAGCGTCCTCCGATCCTCCCTCCCTCTTTCTCTCTCTCTGTCGCTGATCGAGCGAGCGGAGCGTGCCATGTGACAACCCGCTTAATTAACAAAAATCACGGCCCAAATCCAACAGAACCGATCGGCCTGATTCGGTTCGGGTTTGGTCTCAGGTTATAACTCCAGCGCTCAGTCCTGCAGTACCACATAAAGGCGGACCAAAGTTTCCTACCCGGTAAATGTGGAGAGAACCGCTCTGACTGATATGGATGGTACGCTGGTGCCGTCGTTAAAATAACTCAACTACTTTCCACTATCATTGATTATGGTACTCTTCTATGATGCAGAATCTTTTATGCCCAAATCTCAAGCATTGATTATTTGATTATTTTCCTCAGCTCTATCCTACATCTCCCGGTCGGCCTTCGGGGGTGGGGGTGGGGGGTGCACGCGGGGTTTGGGGGCCACAAAGAGAGGGCTCGTGGCCCGGACGTGGCCCACGGGTCGCCATTTGCGGACCACTGGGCTAAGACGTGTTCCAATGTTCATGTTCTACCGAGGCGTGTGTTCTCCGTTTGTTAGCCGTTTAGCTAGCTGAGCAGGGATACACGGGAGGCGTGTTGTAGCCTAGCCTTGGTCAAAAATTACCCAGAATACACTGCGGTATTTTCAAGAGGATGGCAGATCAGAAGCCGGCTGCTACTTCAGGGACAAATTTCAAGTTTAAAATTAAGTCAGCTAATTTAAAATGTTTTTTTGG